TCTGGGGTTTAGGGAGTGAGATGGAGTTCTTACCAGCTGCTCTGAGTGCAGTGGCTCCTGGATGACTCAGGATTCAGTTTCTCCACAGGACGGGAGCAGACCTACTCTGTGTCTGCTCCAGCCGGGAGGAGCAGGCAGGGGCAGAAGGGAAGTGGAATTCCGGAGGGGCGGGGTTTGGGTAGCTGCTGTGCCCTGGATGTCCCTGGCTCCCCGATCTATCTCTGGGGTTTAGGGAGTGAGATGGAGTTCTTACCAGCTGCTCTGAGTGCAATGGCTCCTGGATGACTCAGGATTCAGTTTCTCCACAGGACAGGAGCAGACCAACTCTGTGTCTGATCCAGCCCAGAGGACCAGGCAGGGGCAGAAGGGGATGGTTAGTTTTCTATTGCTGTGAAAAGATGCCATGACCAGGGCAACTTATAAAAGAAACCATCTAATTTGGAGGCTTGCTTACAGTTACAGAGGGTGAGTTCATGACATCATGGTAGGAGCATGGCAGCAGACATGGTGTTGACACAGTAGTTGGGAGCTATGCCTTATTGGAAAGTAGAGGAGAGAGAGAGAGAGAGAGAGAGAGAGAGAGAGAGAGAGAGAGAGACAGAGACAGAGAGAGAGACAGAGAGAGAGACAGAGACAGAGACAGAGAGAGAGACAGAGACAGAGACAGAGGAAGCTAACTGAGAATGGATGGACTTTTGAAATTTCAAAGCCTATTTCCAGTCACACATCTCTTCCAGCAAGGTTGTACCTCCCAATCTTTCCCAAACAGTTTTACCAAGTAGGCAGAAAACATTCAAATATATGAGCCTGTGCAGGCCACTCTCATTCTAAACACTACACACAGACAAGCTACCTGGAAACATCTTTGTCATCTAGAATCAGTAATCTACATCAAAGATTCACCCTTGGTATTCTACATTCTATGGCTTTGGGCAAATTTTTAATGCCATTTATTGCCATTGTAGTATCATAGAATAATGTTTTTATTGTAAAGGTCATCTGTGTACTAATATACAGGTCTGTAAGTGCTTTCCCTATTAGGTCTGCATTTACACAAGTCACTTACTGTCTTTAATATTTTCATAGTGCTTCATAGATGCAGACTAAACAAGTCTCCTTTAAATTGTAGAGTTTCTCTCCACTTAATATATCACCTAATATGTTTTAATTTTCAGGTGAATTGTCAGAATCAAAAGAAAAGCCATCTATCCCAGATATGTCATGCCAAAAATTACAGAGACCAAAGCAACCTGTATCCATGGAGCCTGAAAATGCATCTCATACCAAAGCTCCAGTTCCCAAAGCCAGAAAACTGATCTACAAGTCAAATGGCTTAAAGAAAGTTGATGACCAGTCTTTTCCTGGACAAAGGAGGGACTCCCTGAATGCTAGAGGGGCTCCAAGAGGAATCCTAAAGCGCAACTCCAGCTCCAGTAGCACAGACTCAGAGACTCTCCGATTAAATTCCAACCTTGATCCAAAAAGCAAAATCATATCACCTGGTCTAACCATCCACGAGAGAATTTCTGAAAAGGAACATTCTTTAGAAGATGACTCTTCCACAAACTCACTGGAGCCATTAAAGCATGTGAGATTCTCTGCAGTGAAGGATGAACTTCCCCAGAGTCCTAGACCTGTCCTTGGCCAGGAAGTAGGAGAGTTTACTGTTTTAGAATCTGACAGGTTGCAAAATGGAACTGAAGATGCAGGGGGCATAGATGACTTTCAGGATCACCCAGAACTCTCCCACAAAAATACTTTGTTTTATCAGTCAGTGTCAAGCCCAAGCATTTCAGAAAGGGAAACAGCACAGCCGATATCTTCTGGGTCTGTCCCAAGAGATGAGATTCCTTGTCATTCAGACACTCTACCCACAAGACCTCAGTGTGTTGACAGTTCATCCATCATCAACGAACAAGATAAATCATCACATTTTACAAAGCTTCCGTCAGAATTGTCCAAAAACCCTGCAGGTGAGAGTTGTCATTGCAGGTTACAAAAGCTGACCTTACCATATATGCTGGTGAAATGACCAGGTCAGCCATCCCTGTAGAAAATTAAGATTTTGTTTTAAGCATCCCAGCTACACTTAAAATAGTTGCCATTTGGTGACTTTCCTAAATTATCACCATTGCCAAAAGAATCGGGATAGCACAGTGTCTAGCTTGTGTTTAATATGAGTTCCCTTATAGTTGATCTTAAAAATACAAAATAAAAAATAAATGAAGTCAGCTGTGTTGACACAAGCCTTTAGTCCCACCACCACTTGGGAAGCAAAGGCAGGAGGATCTCTGTGAGGTCAAAGCCAGTCTGGTCTCCATAGAGAGTTCAGGAAATCCAGAGCTGCATAATAGAAAGACTCTGCTTCAAAAAGAACAACAAAAAGCAAAAGAAAAGAAAAAAAAAGAAATTGTATGTACAAATAACAATGTTTTGAGTTAAATAAAAATTAGTATAGAGAGTAGGTATTAAATAAACTCAGAAATGTTCGCATAGAGTAAGCACATCATTGTTTACTAGTGTAAGGCTGTAAAACTAGAGTACTTATGAGGGAGTGACCCTCAAACTACCTTCTCATGTTCCCTCTAGGTTTTTTACATTATTCTTGGACCTTGAAAAACATAAATTGAAAATATAATATTTTATACTTTCTCCCATCTTAATTATATTTTCATCTAATCCTGTGATTTTTTAAAAAAAGTCATAAGATTTTAAAATAGCCATAATCAAGTTACCTCTTTTCTTGTTAGCATTAGGTTAATACTAAACAACTTTAGTTTAGCCCCATAGCTCCGGACATGTCTGAGTCAGTCCAGTCATTAAGAGACAAGGGTCCTTTGCTCTTTGCACATTTGAATATAATAGAACTTCTTTTTTAAAAAAAATAATATAACAAGTGCTTCTTCAAGTAATCAGATAATTTATGTGAGAAGAAATTACTATTGATTGACCAAACATTTGCAAATAGTCATATGGCATTTAATTAAACCAGTGGTTCTCAAGTTTCCTAATGCTGTGACCTTTTAATACAGTTCCTCATGTTGTGGTGACTCCCAACCACAAAATTATTTTGTTGCTACTTTGTAACTGTAATTTTGTTACTATTATGAATTGTAATGCAAATATCTGACACGTAGGGTATGGGTCATGACCCACAGGTGAAGAACTACTGACCTAGATGTTTATCTTAAGAATGAAAAAAGTCCAGGGATAATATTTTCCTTTGTTATAACTTACAAAGAGAAAAGACTTCCTTGTTCTGAAATTTCACCTTCTTCCTTACAGGCTGTTCTTATCATTTTGTATTTAGTTATTTGTTTTGTCAGATTTTACAATCATGGTTGACAATTTTCATTTTTGGAAGAAAAGACTGTCAACAAAGCTCTTTTTGATAGGCTAATCGCCTTCCTAGTCTCAGAGAGTGCCTATATACAAAGGTATGCCCACCAAGAGCCCTTTTCACTGTCTGATTATTAAAATAATATATGCAAGGTACTAGGACATTTAAACTCCCTGTAAATATGTGACTCCTAAGGGCTTGGCTTTAGTTACAAGCTTTAGTGCAATCAAGACTCAGCTTATGTTCACAGTGAAAAACAACACAGAAGAATTCTTCAGAGAGAAGAAAATACTATTACTGTAGAGTTTTTAAAGAAATATTCTTATTTTTAATGTAACAACTTTATATGTAAACTATCACACACATACACAATTTAAAAAATTCTCATCTGTGATATTGCTGTTCAACAATAACTTTTGCTAACTTGTAGTTATACACTTGCCAAAAATTTTAGGTACATATATAATTCATAAATTGTATTTTTAATACCCTGACTTTTTAAGATTTACCTTTAATTATGTATAAGATTATTTTGCCTGCTTCTGTGCCCATTTACCATGATCTGCAGGCCAAAAGAGGATGTTGAATCTCTGGACTGGAGTTACAGATGGCTTTGAGCCACCATGTACATGCTTTGAATCGAACCCAGATTCTCTGGAAGAACAGCCAGTGCCCTTAACCACTGAGCCATCTCTAACCCCTACCTGCAAGACTTTGTTATTTTAGCCAAGGGTTTATCACAAATGTTTTCCTCATTATTAATTAGTCTGTAAATAGACATATAATTCTTTAAGACTTTCACAATTATTGTCAAATATTTAATGATACAATGTGTACATAAGTAAGAAAGCTGATACCTACTATGTATAAGTATTGTGCAAGTCTCTTACAGTTTTGCATTTAGTCAGAGTTGATTAAAATTAAAGACTGAATTTTATAAACTGATATGTTTTTATTGATCTGAAAATGTGGCTGACTGTAAAACATTCAGCTCACCTTATGTTAGGAATGACCCCCTCCGTGTACTGTGTAGCTTAGCATTTTAAAGAAACTTCCTAAAGCATATGAGCCTTTACTACTAGCTTAAGTAAATGCCTAGCTTGTAATTAAGGCTCAAAAAGAATCTAAACACCCTTCTTTAGACCCCTAGGTTGCTAAGCTGACAACAAGCAACCAGTTCAGTTGATTTGGCTTACAGAACTAACTTCAGACTCACGAATAGTAGAAAGGAGACAAGAAGCAATGGAGGAGGCTGCTCTGATTAGAGGTCTAAAACTCCAGCACACAGACCAATCACCAGGACAGCTGTTAGTCAAGATTCCTAGGCCCTGGCTTTGGAGATTTTGATTTAATACATCAGGAGTTAGGCCCAGGAATGCAAAGATTCTCATTTTCTTATCCAAGAGTTCTGGAAAGAATTCATTGTTTAGTCTTACTTGAAAGTTGTTTTTCTAACTCCTGAAATTACTTCAATTTGTGCTTCTCAAAGCTTCCCCTATGGCTTATGACAGTCTCCTTTTGGATGAGTTTTATGGAATAGTTGAGAAGATTAATACTTAAGATATAATGTGGGGCAGAATACGAAGCTCACATGATATTTAAAACATAGGCCATGGACTCCAGTGAAAATTAAGTACCTCTCCACATTACTTGAAGGGGTCTACATTTGTCTTCCTTTCCTGTTACAAGGTATTTTTTTTTAATATCTTATACTAAACTCCCTGAAAGATGTTGGTATGGGCAGCTAATACTATCGAAAGTGCCATTTTTAGAACATAGACTGAAAAATAGCCCTGTAAACATTATCTTATTTAGAAAAGCCTTTCTGTGTTGCAGATGAACTGACACACTGTGTTGAGCCTGAGCCATCACAGACATCAGACCAGAGTTTTAGAGACCATCAGCAAGGTAAGCCCCTTCTCATGGCTGTCACTGATCAGACATCCTCACACGTGGGTCCATGTGCTACAGAGATAAGGAAGACAACTGACGATTCCATATCTAAAGTCCTAGACTGGTTTAACCGAAGTTCTTATACAGAGGACAGTATGTCATCTCTCCAACATCTCCAAGGAATAGATCTCAGACAACAGACAGACTCAAAAGCACAGATTAGCCATGCCTTGATGGCAGATAACACCTGTCTGAAAGAAGATGACTCAAAGGTCCCAATGTCCACTAAAATGAAGTTGAAGCCTATGAGGACTGACTCGGCAGTCCAAGAAGAGGGAGATATGCTGGTTTTTGAAACTTGCCAAGACAGTGATGAACGTCTCAAGTCTAACTCTGAGAATTTGTCCCAACAAGGCACTCTCAAGGAAGGTCCAGATACACTGCAACAATTTGAAAGCTACAGATTCCCAAGTCACAGGAATGAAATCATGAATGATAGCCAAGGTTCAGAGAGTACAGGAGGAGGAGTTGGGACCCTTCCTGTAGACAGTGACTACCTGCTCAGGGCTCTGAAAAGATCTGATTCAGAATCCCAAGTCCTGTGGAGCGCTAAGCATCCTGGCAGCTTAGATAAAGAGGAAACTAAATTCCATGCGCCTCAAAAAAGTAAAGGGAGCACACATCTAAATGCTGACTCTTCAGTAATTGTCCTAGGTTCTATTTTAAAAGATGATGCAGAGAGGCAAAGCAAAACCAGAAGTACTTCCCTCCTAAAACCTTCCCTAGAAAAAGAGAATAGTACATTGTCCCTTGGAGCTGCCAACAGTAGATCTTGGAAGAAGCCTGAGGATCAAGAAGAAGCCAGTGAAGATCCCAAGAACCAAGTGCTGAGAGAGAAATACAAGCGAGTGAGTGACAGAATATCTTTTTGGGAAGGAGGCAAAGCTGGTGCTAAAATAAGGGCACCACAACTTACATCTTGCAGTCAGGAGCCATCTTCTGCTAAAGCACACCAGCCCATGAAGTCACAGGTCATGTCCCTGGGCAGTTTATCTTCAGGCCAGAGTGAATATAGTCAAGTCACAGCTAAACTTGTGGTCTTTGAAGGAGATGACCAAACACTCCATCTCTCCTGTTCTTATTCCTCAAATAAATCTGAAACAACCACATCCCCAATATCAGGTCTATCCAAAAACCATCCTTCAGATCCTTCAGGTAACCAGTCCAATAAAGTAACTCTACTTCAATCTATGGGGAATGAAATGCATCCTTCTTTGGAGAAAGACAGATTTGTGATTGATGATATATCAAAGGGCAACTTCCAAGTTTTTTCCCTAAGAGAAAGAATAAATGAACCCAATACAGAACAAGTCTATAATCACTCCCAATTTGAGAATCTGAGAAAGTTTTGGGGTCTGGGAGCGAATGGAAACAGTAAACACAATAATGGAAATAATACTGCAACAAACAAACAAACTTCTGGGCCATTGAACAGTCAGAAATCCAAGGAGTTTGATGCCATGAAATTATCAAGAGAAAAGACCCATGAAGTAGAAGGAAGACATTTAAGGCAGGGAAATCTTGTAGCTGCAGATGAGATGGAGAAACTAAACTTTAAGTGCATGCTTCAAACACCAGCAGATGAAACCATATTTTCAAAAAAATCACCCCAAAAGTTCACTTATCATTTGGAAGGAAATGGGCCTTCAAAGGAAAGTGTAGGTAAAACTAAGGAGCACTTTGTTACTCCGGTGGTTAAAGAGGCTTGCTCAGGTCAAGAGGCTCAAGAACCCACAGTGAAAGCAAGCATCCTGCCGAAAGTCTCTAAAGACACATTCAATGACACATTACAGAAGTTGCTGGCAGAAGTGACATCACCAGCAAGCCAGACTTCTAGCAAGAAAGTTTATGAACAGCAAGAACTCAAAGTAGGTGTTTCTGAAAATAGGGCATGGCCTCAAAAGAAAAGTTTTGCCAAGGATGAGGAAGAAGTCACAGGGTTCAGGAAGAGCCCCCAAGAGCCCCAAAGAAGAAATCAACAGAACTGTAGTGTAGACAAACTCCAGAAAGAAGCAACTAGAACTTCATTGACTCCCTTGCAGTCCCCTCAGGAACCTGTTACTACTAGACCTGTCTCTCCACCTAAAGATGACCTATTGTTTGAAAAGTGGATAAAAGAGAATCACAGTCCTTCAGCAGATCAGAGAGAGATAACAGCTCCTTTCCCACAGGGTGTTGAAACTTTGGCAGGTACAGATCTCACCTCAACGGCCAAACATTGTAACACAGAAGGTATGATTCAGCTGGTTGCAGAAGAGTCTCCTCCATTGGCTCAGTCTTCCCGTTCTTTTGAGGGAGTTTCCAGTTCTCCAGCAGATATGTCTTTATCTTGGGATGCTCATCTTCGATCCCAGGATGGGAAGTTACCTTCTCAGAGGGAAATTTCAGAGGCTATAGAGAAAGTTGTTCTTCCTTCCAAACCAGCAATGACTGATGTAAATGCTGTGCTACAGAAGCTACTTAGAGAAGCTGGAGATGTGGACAGCAAACTCCCTGAAAGAGAGCAAACAGCAGATAGACCCTCAAGTCCTCAGAGAGTGAGTCCCGTATGGGCTGCTCCAGTCCCTGCTGTTCCAAATAAGGACTCTCATTCCTTTTGCATGGTACCTGATACAACTCATGAAGGTAGATCTCACTTATCTGACAGAATGTCACCATCAGCACATGCCACTATGTCACTCACTTCTACTGTAACTCAGTATGGCCAGGAGCAACTTCAGGATGTGGCAGAAACAGTGAGGGAAACAGTTATTCAGCCCAAGTCAGAGTGCCCTGAATTCAGGGATGGCTTGGAAAAACTACTGAAGGAAACACTACAAACTTCCCTGTCAAAATGTGAAGAGGATACAGTGACTATTTCTCCATCAGCCTTAACAGGTAGTTGTGAGATGTCCCATCAACTTGCTTCTGAACTCCATCCTACAGAAATACAAGAAACTGTAGAGAAGGCTGAGGCTCCATCAGTAACTGAGAGTAGTTTTGATGTTGGTCTTGAGAAACTTCTTAAAGAGATCTCTGAAGGGCCTTGTCAGCTGCAGGTGTCAGAGAAAAGAGACACTTTGGAGAAGCAGCCATCACAGGCAGAGCAAGCGGGGCTCATGGGGGAAATAACCCATCTCTTTTTGGATGGCTCAGGAGCCTCTAAAATGAAGGTTGCATGTAGTGCTTTGGAATCTCAAATCAGCCAGTGTGATAAACAGTTAGGAAGAGATAAAGCTGTGACTGGTCCATTGACAGATGTCCAGGGTTACACAAGTGGGTTTGGGCTCCCTGAATGCTCACAACTCTATGAAGACCATAAAATAGAAACCATTGAAACTGTTCCACTTGTAGAGGACGGAGGCAGAGAGAAGGTTATTGCAGGAGGAACATGGGCTCCGCAGAATCCAGGCTTTGAAGAAGCTCCTAAAGAAATGAGGGTGTCCAGAAATAAGTACTCCATTGTTTTCCTGGAAACAAAAGGAAAGGCTACAGAAGCGAGTGAAGTTAAATTGGTACTAGCAACACCATATAAGAGACGAGAGAAAAAGCAAGGACCAGACGCATGCTCTGAATCTGAGTTTTCAGACGGGAATGCCAGCTCTAACAGGGAGAGCTGGAGAAATACCTCCAGTGAGTGTTTGGGAATTTTTACTCCATGAAGAGTCTGCTTAATAAGATGCATGTGTAAAGGGTGACTTTTTAAAGAGTGGGGTAATTTGGATAATTTGAATGAAAACAGCTTTTCTCACAAGGCTGTGTTTTAGAATCATCTCATAGAATCTAAAAAACAGATTCTGGCATTATTTTTAAATAACTATTTATTTATTTTTTGGTTAGCAAGATCCTTTACAACACATAAACCAGTTGTTTTCTTAAAAACAATTAAAATTTCTCAACTGGCACTCCTCACAGACATCTCTAGTAAAAGTCACAGTGAGAAAGCACCACAAATGGACATAAACTCAGCATGTAGCGTCCATGCCTTAGCTGATGTCCAGGGCCAAGCAGAAGGCAGCAACTTCCCTTCCCTCTGATACTTTGTGCTGTGTGTCCCCCACCTCCACCCAATATTTCTTTTCCTCTCTTTCCATTTTCCTGCAAGAACATTTTCCCCTTCTCAAATATGCTTATAGCCCGATGAGGTCACCTGATCGTAACTAAGGGTATTGCCTGGCCCTGCTGCCTTGGCTAAATTTTGAAAGCTTTTACCCGATGGCTCCACTCTTCTCAGAGCACTGGGGGTTCTGTTTTCAGCCCAGCCATAAAACACAGGGCTTGGCTCGGACTGATGTTGATCAATTCTTGGGCATTTTGGCAGGAAAACCCCAGAGCAAATAGGAATCAGAAGTTACCTGGTGGGAGCAATGAGGCAGAGGAGGAGACTCTCTGACTGGGGCACTGGAACAGAAGCTGCTTAACTGTAGCTGATCATCTTCTTTGTGGTTTGATAGTGTCCATGGAACCAGATGAGCTTTACTATGTGGCTGACTCATGAGGGGTCAGGTTTTTTGTTTGTTTGTTTGTTTTTTGTTTTTGTTTTTTTTGGCAAGCAGCTATAGCGTCTTTTCTTGGTCACTGACCAAAGGATCCATGTGGGATCCCAATCAACCACGTTTAAGCTCTTGTAGCAAATGCTGCTGATTAAAATAAATAAATAAACAAGAAAAGTGAAATGTTTTCTAAAACTAAACATACACAAGAGTAAAACTAACCCGGTGGAGCTGTTCTTTTACAAAACTGCCCGTTGAGTTAGGAGAGAAAACTGGCCCGTATTAATCTGCACTTAGTAAGATACTGGTATACTGCATGAGTGGCTACACACATTGCCATTTTGTTGGTAACTTTCCTGAATCTTTGAGATCTAGAAAACCTACATCTGTTTATCTGGAGAACTCACCAGCTGAGCGCTCAACCGTACACAGATGTTACACATTTGAATCCGTCTTCTGTGGTTTTCTGCTGACTTCTTTTTTTAATGGCCCCAGAATTATTTCATGGCTGTCTTCAAAAAACCAGAATGTTAAGTGTGAAGATTAAAAGTGCGACTCAATAAATTATGAGCCTAAAATAGAAGTGTAGATGATGCAGAGAGTGTGAATACTTCTGCGTGTCTGTATTAACGTGTTCACCTCGGTACTATTGGTTTATGTTCACAAATAACCAGGAAAATTATTTTTGAAGAGCATTTGGTAGTAGAGATATTGCCATTACTTTTTTTTAAGTATTTAGAGGGAATCAGGGGGGTGCTACTTTCTCTTTTCTGCCTATGGTTTCATTGCTTTCTGCTGACTGGGGGACCTTTTGCTTTGGTAGTGTGCAGTGTTCATCCGTTTTGTCTTGTGACAGGTTCAGAAGAAGAGCACAGCCCTGTTTTGAAAACTTTGGAAAGGAAAGCTGCTAGGAAAGTGCCTTCCAAAAGTCTAGAAGACATTCCATCAGACTCATCAAGTGAGAATAAAGTTTGTCCCATGGTCTATGCCTCCCCTAAGCTTAAAAACGCTTGTGTGCTTGTGTTCTTCTACGGTCTCACTGCATGCTGGCATGCACCGGAGCCTCCAATGCAGCTGTTACAGAGGAGACGAGCCTTCTCCCCGTGTGCTCAGGCAGCTTGCTCTTCAGTGTCCGCAACGTGGCTTTAAAAATAACTCATGATATTTAATGATGAGAAAACTAGATTTTCTTTTATTGTTATATCCCAGTTTGAGTGTTTACAAATACATAGGGCTGGGGAGGTAGCTTCGTGGATAAAGTACTTGAAGTAGAAGAATGACTACTATAGTTTGTATTCCCAGGACCAAGAAAAAAGCTGAGTAGGAATGACAACATGTCTGTAATCCCAGCAATGGATAGGCAGAGACAAGGGAGCCCCAGGGCAAGCTCACTAGCTTGACAAGCCATGTCGTAAGACCATGTCAGGATCAGACAAAGACCAGACCTCAATAAATAAGGTAGAGAGTGATCAAGGAAGACAGCCCATATCAACCTCTGGCATCCATAGGTATGTGTACACCTCGTGTGTGCACACCTACTTACATATACATATGTGAATATTCATACACACAAAAACTCTCAATAAAAATACAAGTAGAGTTTTAAAGAATCACAGCACTAGTGGTGCTAGTGAGGTTTGTACTAAGAGCATCTACTGAATATCATGTTCAACAAATTGTCTAAGAATTTTTTCACGAGTACCTGCCCATGAGAGATGAATTGTTATCTCTATTTTATAACTGAGGAAACTGGAATTCAAGTGGTAAAAATACCTTTAGTATAGACCCAAAGCTCACAAAAGACTACTGCAAACAGTATTTATAAAGTGACCATATCACATATGATAGTAAATGTCCCATGATATATATTTAATTAGTTCCTGACTTCAGGAGCTTTTCTTTCTCATTTGTCACTCTTTTTCTATTCACACGCTTCTTTTGGCCCTGGCCAAAGACTCACACAAAGTACTCTATCAGTACTATTTCGTACAGGCTGTTGCTTTAACTGCTAAAGGAAGGGAGGGGTCTTTAGATAAGGCAGAATGTCTACTGGGACTTATCTGCCAGACTAGTGGATTTAGAAGTCATGGCCTCTGGAGTTTTGTTCCAACTGTTTCGAAGTTATGATCTGTCTTGGGGGTCTTAGATAGCCAAAGAAAATTTGTTAAATAAAATTTAACCACTGCCAAACTCAACTGATTGCTGACATTGTCCAGTTTAGAATAAGTTTTAGGTATTCTCAGTTTGAGATTTTTTAAACAAAAGTTGGGGTTTAAACAGAAAGGAAGAAAAACTCCTTCGCCAAAACAATTCATACATTTCAGAGATTCCCAGGGTGTGGAAGAGAATATTCCCAATTCAGAATGCAGCTCTAACTCTCCCAAGGATCTTGGAATTTCAGGGTTGGAAAGGACCCTGAAGGTCACTCATTTTGACTTTTCTCAGTGTCAGAATTCCCTCTAAAGCCTCCTCAACAGGTGGCCAACCCCCATATCTGCCTGAATGCTTCCAGAAAAGGCATGTCCAGTCCTTTGTTGGACAGCTCTGATTGTCCTTCCTTTTTGTTAGTGATGGGCACTGAGGGATAAAGAAGAAAAAGACAACAATTATCCTTTTTAGTAAAAAGCAAAAGCAAAACAAAACCCTCTTGTCTGAGAAGTACAGAGTTATTTCCATGGTGCAGCTTTAAAGTACTCAGGAATGTATAGGGTTAAAAAAAAAAGTCACAGTCAGCTGACGGGTATTCTTGCACTCTCTCTTCCAAATACCGATACCCACTCTCACACTAGCCTGCCAAGATTCCACTTAGCAGCTGGTCCCCAGTTACATCTCTTAAGTTGGCTTCCCAAGCAAGCCTCCCGGAGGCATATGCAAACCATGATGCACATACACAAATATTTGTTAATGACCATAGGTTTGGGAAGGTGTTAGTCATGGCCAGAGTCTTACCCTCTGCAGAAGAATAGAAGGCTGCTTCAGCCCTGTGCTTTCCCCTGTTGTCAGCGGATTGCTTGCTCTGAGCTAACCCTCTAACCCTTGGGAGTCAGTGCACAGCAGTTTGCTGATGTGAGCCGCATCGGGCTGAAATGGAAGCGCCTGCTAAGACACTGGCTCAAGTAGCTAATCTAAAGAGAAAGTATTTGGGGGAAGACATCTTGGTTGCACCCCTCACTGCATCTTGACTAATTGCTTCCAACTCCTCCGGGAGCTTCCAGGGACAATCTCCTTGTTCTCGTCTCATCAGGGGTCAGCCCCATTAACCATTTGTTAATTTCTCCTGAACAGATCAAGCAAAAGTAGATTATCTGCCTGAAGAATTAGTACGTAGTGCTGAAGATGGTAAATATCTTTATGTATTTGCATGTCTGTTTGTGTATTAAGTTCTGGGGTGATTTGGGCAGTCACTGGCATGCAGCTGTTGGGTAAATAGAAGACCGTCATTTGCCAGTATGTAGCAGATAGTGCCTAAGTTATAAAAACATTCTGGCATGGTACATTTAATACTGCCTATATTCTTAAAGCTTCTGCTGATGATAACATGAGGATCTCATCAGAGAGACTCAGGAAGCAAGGGTTTCTATAAATAGGAAATTATATTTCTGTGGGTATGAGCTAATTTGTGTTAACTTTGACTTGCAGAACTCTCCGAAAGAGTGGGATCTTGGGTTAAATTGTTCTTGTGTTTGATTCTCAAATCTCAGCATTTAGCACAACTAACAGAGTCTTTACTTCAAAGAAAAGGGCCCCAGGACTAGGGAAGATGAACCTGCCTATGATTATATAAATGAGTATGGAATGATGGTGAGATTAATTGATTTCAAATATTAAGGCAACAGAAGCTCTTGAAGCATGTCAATGGATTACATATTACTTTTGCTATAAAATTAACTGTGTAATAGAGCCTTGGTGGGGGAAGGGTAGGAATGAGTCTTATTCTTATAGTTCAGCACTTAAAAGTGAATGATTTATATTTGCTGACAGCACTTAATTTTTGTAAGCTGTTCTTGCAATAACCATAAAAATGTGTACTTACTATGCAAAGTGCAGCAGAAGATCTCAGAGGTAATTTTTTTTTTTTACATTATGTTAGGTTTTCTTGTTTTATATTTACAACCACCTTGTTGAAACAAGTGAGAAAATAATTTTAGCCTGTATTTTGAAGATTAAAAAATACTGCTCAGAAAAATGAGGTGTTCTTTTTGCAATCATGTAGCTCATCGGTCAGCGAGAGAGCAGGGTGCAACAACTTGGATGCCCCTGGTCCAGTTGTTTCTTCCTGTGTCCCTGCTGTGCTTGAGGCTTACAGGAAAGAAAACTCAGGTCTCCTACCCTGGGTCTTAGATTTTTAATTAAACAAGAGGCTTTAAAGAGAGGCTAATGAAGGATCCCACTGAGACACGAAAAGCTGAAAATCTGTCAGATGGATTCTGTAACTTCAGTCTTAAAACTAGCATTTGAGTTTAACTTTCATGTCTGTTTAATCCTTAATTGAAATGGTATTCATTCTCAATGTTACTCTTCTGGGTAGATCAAAAAGCAGACCAGGAACCAGATACAAATGAATGTATACCAGGAAGTGAGTAGCAGGACATTTCCCATAAATGACTAAACATTTCATTCTATATAACATCAAATATGCTAATGAACTAATCTATTAATACCATAATACTTATTATTACTATATCTCCGAAGCTTGCAAAAAGAAAAAACTATTTCATTCTGATAAGGGCATATTAAAAACAGTTTACTATGCTGAAAGAATGTATTTTCACTAAAGGAGATTTGTTTATCTTAAGTTTACGTATATTGTTATTGATGCTATCAACTTCTCTTACTCTGATATTGGAATCTTTGCTCAAAATCAAATGGGCATATTTTTTCTTTTTTTTTATTTATTTATTTTTATTTTTTATTTTATTTATTTATTTTTTTTATTTTTTTATTTTTTTAAATGGGCACATTTTTATTGTAGTTCACCTTTGTGCTGCATTATGCTGTGCACTTCAGGGCCCTTTAGCTTTTATGTAACAGTAGTCAGAAAGCAATTTATTACTGATTTGGATCCCCCAAAAGAACTATGCTTTGACAGTTCACAAACAGTATAGTTAGCTATACCTCCCTGCATATCTATAAAAGTAAATTTTTGTTGTGTTCAGGGATTAAATTCTGAGGTTCTAAAACTGGCTTCAAACAGTAAATATCAAATCTTTTTTTTTTTAAATTAACATTTGAATCTAAACAAAATAAACACTTTTGCTACTAGTGTCCATCAAGTAATTTATATCCAACAGAAGACAAAGATAATGTTAGTTCCCAGTTTTTAGTATTAAGACTATTCTACATAGGTAGGACCACTGTCTTAAAGGCAAATTATATATTTAAAGTGGCTCTCTGGGGCCTGACAAAGTATGCATATATGCCTGCATGATTGTTAACTCCGCTCTTTCATAAATGTAGACACTGGTGGTATGAAGCAATTGCTACCCATGCCTGCTTTCAGGTCCACAGTATTTTGTGTAATAACCCTCAAAAGGCTTTGAATATGCTAATGGGCTTCCTGAGGAGAGCTTCTCAGTGGAGGAGCCAGCAGATAGAGGAAATAATGTGCTGATGCTGGGAGTCTCTAATGTCTAGCTTGAAATCCGAGACTGCTCATGAGGTCTTCCTCAAGGCCCTGAGCTTTGGCACATGACTTGACAAATTCTTAAGAGCTGCCTAGGAGAGAAGGCAATTCAGGCCTGGCTCTGTGAGCATGCCACTGTCTGGCTACTGCAGACAAAACAAGCTTCTACCCTGGAGACGTTTATGGACAAAGAGACTTTTCCTGTGGCCTTCGAACTAGGACGTGCTAAAGTTTGGACACCTGGTTTTATGTTGCTGTTTAACATTTTGTTTGAGACGTAAAAACAAGACACAGATGGACATCTTTCTATTCCTCTGTCTTCATACATATTGGTCTAATAGATCAATTATGTGCTGTAGTGTAGGTAAATTCATTTCTTTAGCAATTAAACAAAAGATTCTTACTGTCTTTTCATTAGGAAATACCATTCTTACTATAAGACAAAATATGTGTGATTAAAAACAAGTAACTGAAGGTCATAAATGTGAAACTGATTACATTTGAGTAATGAGTGTAATTGAATTTGACCTATTTACATCATCCAACAATATACATTGTTGCAATGATGCAACAAAAAGGCTTTTACAATCTTATTGAAACACACATGGGATATGACTTAATCTTGAGTTGTTTCCACTATAACTCACCCAAAAGTACACATGTATGCACACACAAATGTATACATGTGTGCACATGCACATACACACGCACACATACATACATGCACACATTCACACATGTATACATCCATACACAAATACAGACATATGCACACATATACACATACTTTAAATGCATGGGAAATGATAAAGTGGGTATTCTAGTGAGACACTGTGAAGGAATTTGCTGTATGTTTTTGTGTATGTGCTTTGTCAGCCTCAGGCTAGGTGAGAACGGACATAGAATAAGCAAAAATTTAACATAGGTGGCTCAGTTTCGTTTTTCACTCCTTAGATTTATTTTAACTAAAGATGAAATCAGCTAATGTTTAAGGCTAAATGTGTGTTTTTAAGTTATGAAGAGAAAGGCAATTTGATTTGTATGTATTTCCTAATGGCATTTTTAAGGATAAAACCAAATCAATATATTTGTATTGTATTTAAGACATAACTTGAAGAAGATATATCAGAAATGTTTGTATCTTTAAAAGTACCTAGTATACACCAGGCAGGGCAACATGCCTTGAAATAGAAACTCTTTCATTATAAGAGCTACTACTCACCTTAATAAAAGCTTTCCCACTGTGATTCATGTACAAAAGAAGAAAATAATTTTTGAACTGCATGTATGCAAATTATGACTCAAGCCCACTCTCTGACTAGGCCTTCTTTACATATATTATTGTATTAGAAAGAAGTCATGTGCTATCTTTTCTTAATCAATTACTTGGGTCTATTAATTTGAAATGTTTAAACCTGACCTTGATATATTGAAACTTCTTGGAGCCAAATGGTATCTAAATATATTCTTTAAATTATTTTTTTAATACAGGGTCTTTCAATGTAGCCCTAGCTGGCCTGTAACTTGTTATGTAGCCTAAGCTATTCTCAAACTGGCAAAAAAAAATCCTCCTGCCTCTAAATTTCAAGGGCTAGGATAAAAGGCATGCACTACCTCACTGGCTAAAACAATTACTTTAAAAATTATAATCTTTCATAATTCTGAGTGAGTAACAACCACCATGAGATCCATGGCACCACCTCTCTCTTTCTTTCACACACACACACACACACACACACACACACACACACACACACACTAGAGAAAGATAGAGAGAGTGTTCCCTAAACAGGAATTTTCCTAACCACTAAATAAACAAACCTGGTCTTAGGCATTCCATAGCCAAGTGTGAACAAAAATCCTAAGTGTACAAATGAAATAGTTTTTCAGCCTGCAGCATGTTGAAATGTGATGGATCTTGTTGTGGTGAGGTGGGGAGATGAACCAATACATTATAGCACTTGGGGTTCAGAGCTCTGATGTGGACAAAAATAAGTAAAATCAATTCACATTGACAAGTGAGGGTCCTTTTGAGACCATGTCTGTCTCCTTTTGTATCCTTGACTGTCCTGGTGTCACTATGTAGCCCAGGATGGCTTCAAGCCTACAGCAGTACTCTTACCTCAACCTCAGCGTGTTGCTGGGATTATAGACCCGAGCTATCATATCTGGTACATAATACAATGTAAGACCAACACAAATAAGAGCAAGTGGTTTTGTTTGCTTGCTTGTTTTCAATTCATTTTCATTTGGTTCAACTCCCTGTGAGTTCTCTTTCTGAATATGACTTATATAAACTGCTTGTCACTTACCTCATGATCCTATGCATGCCAACTACTACACCTTTAACCTTTATACAGAACGGTATTCATAAATGAAAACACAGTGTATTCTCAATGTGTGCCTGATGTCTGATGGTTGTGGATAATCTTGAAATCTAAATGCTGCTTTCTAGTTTCCACAGTGCCTGCACTGCCTGATAATCAGTTTTCCCACCCTGACAAACTCAAAAGGATGAGCAAGTCTGTGCCAGCATTTCTTCAAGATGAGGCAAGTTCATGTTTTGAACCTTTGGGAAAATGGAGCCTGTTTTGCTCTGCCACCAATGGGCCATCTGCACTTGAGTGTGGCCCAAACCAAGGATGTCAATAGGGATGGCTCTTGCCTCCCAAGTCAATGCAGGCAGTGTTGTTGATCCAGGGACAGGGCAAAGGAGGCATGTCTCATTTCACTCAAATAGTAGTTATTCTGGTCAGTAAAGTTGGATTGAACATATCTAGGAATGTGAAACTTTTGCTTCAAAGTAGGTACAAATTAAGAAATCTGGGAAGGAATATGTTGTGTAATTTTACTGTATCTATATCTAAGAGCTAGTTTGTAAGACCATAGGAGGTATGACTATTTCTAAAGCACTTGTTAAAATAATTGGCTGCCTTAATTCTCCAGTGACCATGGAAGCTATGCACCACCATTATTCCCAAATATTACAGGTGAAAAAAAATAAAGCCTATGGAATTAAAATATCTTCACACAGCTGTATTGTGGACTGGCATCCAGATCTGATTTTCCTGCTGGTAACCACTGTGCCATAACCATGTAGGAACATGGCTGTGCTCCACAATTTACTGAGTACAGGCTATGAACCAGGAACTCAATACTCCAGTTAGTTTCCAAACACCCAGAAACCACTACAAAGTGGATCTAACACTTTGCTTAATGGCTTTTGACTTAGTAAGATCTCAGTTTCTTGCTGTCACATGATTAGAAGCCTATGGTGTACAGTAAGATATTTTCAGTTCTGGTTATAAAGCTAGATTGTTGTATTACCAGGAACAAATAAATTATTTACTTCCAGTGAGACAGGTTTTTGACTATGTACTGTATGACGTTGTTGGTACCAAATGACCTAATGCAAAGAAAACACATAACACAGTGCTTGGAACATAGTGAACACTCAGTAAGTGTTAGGATCTGTGATTCTAGGTTTTGCCATGGTTTCTGAAGGGGAAATGGAAGGCTTTAATACTTAGGCCAATCTTCTTAGAAGATAGGATGTGAATAAAGTTCTGAGCAAAATGTAAATTGCACTCTACTCCCGTCCTGAATGCCATTCTGTCTGTTAGGAACTTTGGGTGAACAACATCTGCAAATATTTGGTCCTTACAGATGTTTAAGAGCCCTACACTAGTTTGGAAATAAATCACCCATTCTGTGAGGGAAACTAACTCATTAGCTGGATGCCAGCCAGCATAAAGTCCATGCAACTTCTGTCATTTAGACCTTTGGAGATTTGCTCTGGTCTTGGGTAGTCATAGGAATAAAACATAATTTGAGAGGTGAGTTGTACTAGTATATATTTGTTAAGTTTCTCCTTCCGTTTAAACCTGCTGTCTCAGATCTTAATGGGACATTTGGCTTTGTGTATCAGAGGCATCGGAATGAAACTGTATCACTTTACCTTTCTAAGCATGTAGACTTGAACTGGGGAGTAAAGGATTCAGTGATGAAATCAGCCCTTGCTCCTTTGTCAGCTGTCCCTTTGAAACTTAGTCACATTTATTAAGTGCTAGCTATGTAAAAATGCTGTAGCAGTCCAACAAGACAAAGTCCCATCCTCCCATCACTTATTAATGATCCAGTATACTAGTAGAGTAGATAATGTGTTCTGAGAGAGGGGAATAGATTGTCTAGTGTATGGGAATGGAATGTAATATCAAAGATACTTAAATGGTATGGATTTTTGAAAAATCCTCAGACAAGAGTATTTTCTCTTCCATGTAAGTCATTAATTGTTTTTCTTTAACTCCTTCATTAATCTGCATTATAATTGGCATCTATGATATTGATATATAATTGCATGATCCTGGAATATGCTGGCATGAACTAACTATTCTTCCACAACCCTGGAGCCATTGTGTTGTTCCGTAGGGCCTGCAATCCCCAAATAAAATTGTTATGAATATTGAACCTTATAAGGAAACATTCAACAAACTTTAAGTATAAATGCAATTGAATTTGTCACTGCTGTTTTTCCTCCTTGTTCTAAATAGATGTTCCTTGGGATGTATTTATAATAAGTATCCTATTGCTTTTTTATTTTTAAAGCAATATGTTGAAAGCTAGTGAATGGATAATTGAACAGACTTAAGGAACAAAAGGATGAAGACAACAACACTGTAGGTTACATAGGGGTGTTTTACATTTTAAAAATATAAAATGTAATTGAAGCTCATCAGACTAGTTCTTATTATTCCTAGTTTAACAGTATCTTTAGCAAAAGATTTTCATTTTTAAGAAAGCTGAAGCTAAAACATTAAGAATGGAAAGACTTAAGCATGGTATTTTATACTTTGATAGGATTTCATAGATGATATGTATATATACACACACACACACACACACACACACACACACATATATGTATATATACTCTAGGGAATGCAGATATATTAAAAGACTGACAAGAAAGCTCACAGTGGTACTGTCTTCCATAGGTCATGGGGTCGCACTGTGGTGAAATATCACTCCCTCATCCTCTTTGCACACTGCTCTCTTAGGTGAGGTCCACTGTAGACCACCACTCCATGCAGAATCCCCAGCAATTAGCCCTAGCCTCCATTGCCTTTGGAAACTGTCACAGATCAGTGTGTAATAAGATGCCATCCTCGCCTGGACATAGAATCTAATGTTGACTCATTCCAAACTTACAATATTCTGACCTTGACTCGTTCCAAATATAAACACTGCATATGTGATGTGATGTCTTGTAGAACGATGACAGAGAAACAGACACAGCATCAGAGAGCAGCTACCAGCTCAGGAGATACAAGAAGAGCCCCAGCTCATTAACCAATCTTAGCAGCTCCTCTGGCATGACGTCCTTGTCCTCTGTATGTAAACAAAGGCTCCATCTTAATCTCTCTCTGCTGCTCTAAACTTTGCTCTTCTATGCCCCTGCTCACTGTAAAGTAGCCTTTTGTCTTAGCTCTAAAACTCAATGTCGTTTCCTTTAATTTTTAATTACCTTCCAGCTAGCTATATATTCCAATTCTCATAGAATGAGGGGTCTAATGTATGTTATAATAAAAACCGTTTTGATGTGCTTTAAAATTCTAAATTGGCAGCAATATGAACCATTCAATTTTTTTTTTTTTTGGTGTGGAACAAACAGATTACAGAACCTGCCTATCTCAGACATGACTTTATATACAACTTGCAGACACACCATTGTACCTGTCTTCTAAATAAGCCCCTTCAAACTTAGATCGAGTCTTGTGAAGAATGGGATAGTACTTTGTTGCCTTCTGGAAGGAACCAGAGCATGCTTTTACATGGCAAGCTCCCAAAGCACAGTTGCTCAGATTTGATGGAAGTGAATGTGATTATATGAAACTTCTCCCATAAATGAAGGTAGCTCATGTAGTGTCTGTATAGAAATACACATATGAAATGACATTGGCATATATTTGTTTAAATATTTTTCTACTATCCATACACATTCATATAGCTCACCAGGTATGCTAGACAAATGACACCATGCTTAAATTCTTACTAGCCTTGTATTTCTGAAGCTCTTTTTAAAAAATCTATTTAAATTGATTTTTCCACCCTGATAATCTATGTATGCCTTGGGAAGGCTCTAAGTTCCCTCCATCAATCATATATAGTCTACCCTTCCTGAACTCTGAAAGTGCAAGGCTCAGCAAGCATTTTCCTAGATTCAGAGGATAAGAAACATGGTAAAATTCCTTTGTAGTGCCATGGAATTTTAAGCAATGTGTCACCGTGATTTGTGTGCCTGAAGTTTCTCGTATCCTTTTCCTTTAGCATTTAAACACTAAGCATGGCTAACAGAGAGTGCGACCTAGCGTTTTGAGATGAACTCGAATCTCAGTAACTTGCACTATTATCTGCCATTTAGGAACAACTTAAACTCTGGTCATATATATCATGTCAGAACACCTGCATTGGTGTTACCTTATGCCATATTAACTGATTTTATATGCAAGCTGGAAGCTTAATAGCAAGCAGGGACTGTGTGAGAGCCACTTGCACTGGGGTGTCAGGAAGATGACATGAACACTGCCTGTTTCTGATGCACCCAGGCGAGTGGCAGTGTGATGAGCATTTACAGTGGAGACTTTGGCAACCTAGAAGTGAAAGGAAGCGTGCAATTTGCAATCGACTATGTGGAGTCCCTGAAAGAGCTGCATGTGTTTGTGGCCCAGTGTAAGGACTTAGCAGCAGCAGATGTTAAGAAACAGCGCTCAGACCCGTAAGTACAGACCTGGCGGGGGTGGGGGGGATCGCCTATTTTTTCTTAGTTCTCAGTCAATTTGGTAGAGATCAAAGAATCAAAGCCATCAAAGACAGAGTCTGTGTGTGCTTGTGTTTAAAAGGGCCTTTGAAAAGTTGGTTACTTTATAAATCCATATACCAAACATTAGATTATTAAAAAACAAACAAACAAACAAAGATACAGAGACACTATTGCAGTTTGAGGACCTTGGGGGCATCACTTGAGACAAGGATTAGAGACAAATATTCCATAAAGATGAATTCAGGAGCAGCAAAATCCAGAATAAAATCAGAACCCTGTTCATCCTGACAGACTTTCAAAACTTTTCTAAAATCAGAGACACAAGAAGCAGACTTCATAATGTTCATTGCCATGAAAATATCGTCTTAATAATAAAGTAATTCCCATATTTAAATTATGTCTTACAAAGTCAAGAGTGGTGGCACACATCTGTAACCCCAGCACTCAGAGGTAGAGGATGGAGGATAGTAAGTTAGAAGCAAGCTTCTGCCATATAGGAAGATCCCTGTCTCAAAAGAAATGAATAATGAATGCAGTTAAGTCTTACATCAGAGCTTTAGGAAAAATTGCTAGGTCATCTTTTAAATCAAGGGAGTGAGTGCATTTCAGTTTGTTTGAAGGTTGACCTTTGAAGAAGTCTTGATTTGTGACCATTTTTCTGGGACATTCCCAGTTGGCTTTTGTTTTTATTTCATTTCAAAGAGCAATGTACTGTTTTATTTCAGAGTAGAGTGAACAACCATATTTATTCTAAATATAACTCACTAAAAGTTAGAAGGTGCTTCTATACATCAAATAGTGAAAAGTTCCCTTTTTGTATTTTTAGACATGTAATTTTACTTTTAATTGAGTGCTTTGCTTGCATGTATGTGTATGAACCAAATGAGAGCCTGGAACTTACAGAGGCCAGAAAGAGAATCGGAGCCACTAGAACTCAAGTTAAACGTGGTTGTGAGCTGCATGTTGGTGCTGGGAGCCAGCCCGGATCCTCTGAGACAGTGAAAGTGCTCTGAACCACTGAGCCATTTCTCCAACCCCATTTCTTCTTTTTAAAAACAATTTTTATTGACTCTTTGAGACTTTCATACATGTATATAATACATTTTGATCTTATTCTCTCCTCTCCATCCCCTTCTTGTGTCCCTTTCCCACTCCTTGTGGAACTTTTCTTTATCCCAACATGTTCCCTTCCTGCTCTCAGGTATTTCTATAAAAAACAAAACACAAGCTCAATTAAGGTTGCTTGCATGATTATGAATATGGATTTTTATCATAACCATGGTTATTTTATCATGGGTAACTTATCATTGGTAATTTTATCATGGCTACACCCTGAAGAAAAATAACTCTTACTTTCCCATCAACCATCAATTGCTAATAGCTCCTCATCTAGGGGTGGGACCTCATGTATTCCTTCCCCCATGCATCCTGGAATGTTAGTGTTCTCCGTCTTGTATAGGTACTCACAGCTGCCATGAGCTCATGAGTGTTATCCTGTGTCATGTCCAGAAACGTGGTTAGTTAGCGGCACTCTTCTTCATCCTCCAGCTCTTTTATTCTTTCTGCCCTTCTTCCTCCCGTGTGCCCTGAGCTTTGGGGGAGGGGTGAGAAAATTGATAGAGATGACCCACTTAGGGATGAGCACTCCAAGGTATTGTTCTCAGCATTTTGACCGGTTATGAGTCTCTGCACTACAAAGTTCCACTGCAAGAGGCAGCTTCTCTGACCAAGGCCAAGGACTGTACTGATCTACGGCTCTAAACGCAAACATTTAGAAGGCAGTTGATAAACATGTTCATTTAGCAAAATAACGAGAATAGGTTCCTTCATGACCACCGTCATGGAATTTTGACCAAGTTTACAATACCCAGGTATGAGTTATGGCTTATAGAGCAGACCTCAACTCCAATCAGAAAGTAGTTGGCTACCCCTATAACATCTATATTACTGTTGTATTAGTGAGCTTGTCTTGCCTGGTAGGTCAGTACTGTAGCATACAGGGTACACTGTTGGTATGATAGCTGATTACTTTTCTCTCCTGGTGGCTTAGATAGAGAACCTTGCAATACTGTGAAAGCTAGCCAGTGAAGTAAATTTCCAGGTCAGTTTCAGCTTTGTTACTCTTGCCCTGCCACCAAAGTGGGTGGCGTATTTAGGCACTTAGGTCTTAATATACAGTTCTAGTGGCCAATCGAAACCAATGGCAGTAGCCCATACTATTCAGAGGTTCAGCTCTGGGACCTCTCTGACCAACAATTGAGACAATTAACATCTGGCAGTAGGATTTTTTTTCATTTAATAACCCGCGACTTCTAGGGAGTAAGGTATCATTGATCCATGCAGGAGGCCTTCATTCAAACTCCCTTTAAAAGTTTTTCTAAAAAATAATTTTACAAAATAGCAGATATTCTTAAGGCTATTCATATCCATAAGACTTTCCATACGTCCCTAGTTTTGGTGAACCCTCTTCACACCCTGACCTCTCCCCCTACCCCAGTGTGTGTGTTGTGTGTGGATGTGTGTTGTGTGTGGATGTGTGTTGTATGTGGATGTGTGTGAGTGATGTGGATGTGGGTGTAGATGCACTAATCCCACATGTCATAGCACATATGGGGTGGTCAGAGGGCAATCCCGTAACTTTCAGGAATCAGTTCTCTGCTTCCACCCTATTTTGAGGCAGAGTCTATCTTGTGGATTCTGCTGCTTCACCTCACACTCCATGGAAAGTGAGCTATGAGTTTCTGGGGGATTCTCCTGTCTCTCCCTCCCATGTCATTGAAAAGGACTGGGATTACAGGCTCACAGTGCCCTATTCAGCTTTTAGGTAAGTTCTGGAGAGCCAAATTCATGTCACCAGGTTTGTGTGGCAAGTCCCCCCTTCCCCACTGAATACCGTCCCTGGACCTCTTTTTTTCTCTCTTTCTTTCTTTCTTTCTTTCTTTCTTTCTTTCTTTCTTTCTTTCTTTCTTTCTTTTGTTCTTTCTTTCTTTCTTTCTTTCTTTCTTTCTTTCTTTCTTTCTTTTTCACAGAATAGCTTCCTTGGCATCCTTCATTGGTTTTATATCAAATATGGATGGACCAAGCAGATGTGTGCTAAAATTAATCTGTTCATAAGATGGAAACAAAGTCATAGCATACAAATCCCACAATCACCAAAGCCTTTTCTCAGCAGGAAACAGACCAAAAGAAGTAAACATTATACTAAAAGTCTGTTGCCTATTTTTCTTTATGTACCATATTAGAAAAGCCAGTGGAAAATAATGAATTCAAGACTAGTCGTGGTGGCTCACACCTATAATACAAGCACTTAAGACGTTGAAACAGGAGAATCGTGAGTTTGAGGCCTGCCTTAGCAACATTAAGAAACACAATTTTTTTTAAAAAAGGAAATTTCCATTTAACAATCTAAAAACAACATTAAATGATCCATTCTACTGAGATCTCTTAATTCATTTAAATATTTTAAAATAAAAAGGTGTGGACAGGAACGTTTCTTTCTTACTGTGTTTAGCAGCAACACAGGGTAATTGCTGCTCCCAGTTTTCAATGTGTTGCAAAAGGTAGATGTGAACATACCACTGTATCTTCTCTGACTGTCACATCTCTCCATGTTTCTTTTTCAGATATGTAAAGACCTATCTGCTACCAGACAAAGGCAAAATGGGCAAGAAGAAGACACTTGTAGTGAAGAAGACCTTGAATCCTGTATACAACGAGATTTTGCGGGTATTTCTAAATTCTGTCCACAGATGAAGCTTTTATGATAACCTGGACATTGAAATAGTCATGTCTGCTTAGATGGTGTCTCTTATCTTTGTTCCAATCACAGTGTGCTCCTTTCTGTAATGCAGCAGAAGTTCGTCTTCTTCACACTGCCACATTTTCTGTTCCTTCAGGCTGGAATAAACTTCCTCTCAAACCTTTTTTAATTGTACCTTAAGCTACTCTTAAATATTTCTACCTTAGCAACCATAATTCCTCTGATGACCACTGACTCCATAACCTTGCTTATGACGGCCTGTGTCAACATTCAGTACTTTAACCTTGACACTAAGGGTTAAGTTCCACAAGGGCAAGAACTAATCTGTGATAGTAATAGACTGTGTATAACAGCATTCCTGCACCTCAGTGTGTAGGTATGTATAACACTCCTGCACCTTAGAGCTCAGAAATGAGGGAATGGTCATTTCTGTATCTGCAAAGGGGGAAGTAATGATATTCACTTACCCACTTCAGGAATCACAGACTAGACATTAAGTGAGTTAATGCCCACATTAGACATTTAACGCACACTGATTCACAGCACAGTGTTTAGGGTAGAGAACACCACAAAAATGTTTATTGGAAAGATGGATAGGTGGGCTGTAAGTGGAAAGTTGCCGAGCTCACACACATTCTTTTTCTCCCTACATGGGATGTCATGTGATATGTTATGATTGACAAATCACTTAAATAATAGGTGTTGTTCATTCTCTGTTTTGGAAAACTTCAAGTATTTGCTAATCCTCCAGGAAAAGGGGAAGAAACAGTTAAGTGATGGTGTCAGTCATTCGTGGCTGAATTAGCCATGTGTGGATTTATGCAGCAAGTTTGTAATTACTGTTTGACTGTGACATATCCCAGGACCCCAGCTATTTCTGGGTCAGCTGCTTCAACCCTATACTCAGGAAAAGCCAGCTTATTAAACAGTAAATTCAGGGAATGGTAGGTCTGATATAACCAAAATGGACCTTCAAGTACTATGTCCCAAAGCCAAATGGAGATTATTTTTAGATTGGAAGTACTCTTATTCCTTCCATGATTACATATCATCAAGGAGGAGTGACTTAGTTTGAGATGAGAAACTGTTAGGACACCAAGTCTTTTCTACCTAACCATGTGAGGCTGGAAAAAAATCAAATTTACTTTTTTAAGAAAAAAAAATGTTTTTTAATCTGATAATGTGAGAGGTCTGTTTGTAGTGGCAGATGGTATATGGGGAGTCATACCTTGTGTTTAAGTTTTCTATGTATCCAAAGCTGTTTTAAATACTGAAGTCTAGCTGGGGATGGTAGTGCACACCTATAATCTGAGAACACAGAGAGGAGGTAAGGGGATTGCAGTGTTATCCTCAGCTACACAGCAATCCCTACATCGTGCAGCAGACCTTAAATGAGACCTCTCAAAAAAAAAAAAAAAAAAAGGGAAAAAGTCTAAGAAAAGATCTTGTCTTTAGGTAGAAAAACAGAACTAGATTTGATTTGAATTGTATTTTTAGATTGAACCTGATTTATGATAGATCTCTTGTAAAAGCATCCAACAAAGGTTGAATAATTGACTTTTGTTTTTAGAAAGCTATTTCCAGCTATGATATTTGAGCCATGGTTTGCCTTTTCCAGCAGAGGGGAAAACATCCGCATTCGTGAAAGATGGGGCTTTAGCTCTTTGAAATCAGACACGTGGAGTAAGATGCCTCCACAAGCCTTCTGAGGCCGGAAAGCAAACAGATGAGGCATTTAGACGCCCACAGATGAGCTTTCATCTCGGTGTCATAACTTTGGCACAAGGTGATGCTAGTCATCATTTTCATTTTCTTTTCTTCGCTGCAGTATAAAATTGAAAGGCAATTCTTAAAGACGCAGAAGTTGAACCTGTCTGTTTGGCATCGGGATACATTTAAGCGGAACAGCTTCCTGGGGGAGGTGGAGCTCGACCTGGAATCATGGGATTGGGACAACAAGCAGAACAAACAGCTGAAGTGGTACCCGCTGAAGAGGAAGGTGGGTTCAGCTTCCCTTCTTTGTGTGGTGGGTTGGTGTGCGATCTGGTGTGCAGGGAAGAGCCCAGTAGCATCTACCTCACAGTGCCAGTGTGGAATTTGGGACCATTTGAAGCTAGGATTGAACTTAACATTGTGCATTTGGTAAAGAAAGAGTTTTTACAAATACATGGAGAATTTACATCATTCAATGCTAATGTCTGACTTCAGTCTTCAAGAAGGTCATTTAAATGTTCCAATCCCTTAAAACCTGAGATAGACTTTGAGCCTAGCATATGGTGAGATTGTCCCTTGAGAAGAATGTGGCTTGTTTTGTTTAGTTTCAGGGTCTTATTGCATAGCCCATGCTTGCTTGGCACTTGCCCATTAGCCTAAGGTAGCCTCAGACTCATGGTCTTCCCAGTTTAGCCCCCAGTTACTATCATTATGGGCTTACTCCTCTGGACAAGGCCGCTTGGGAGGTGGAACTCCAGGAGTTCTTAGGGAAGCTCCAAGACACTGCTCCAGCGGTAGGAAAGTGCAGTCTGAAATGGGGGGTGGAGGGAGGGGGGAGGTTCCAGGGCCTATGATGAGGCTGGGGCTGAGAGGGGGATTCTCTGACTCTTGGACATCCAGGCATTGCTGTGAGTCTCAGAAGAGCCAAGATCGGAGTCTGGGGGCCTGAAGGCTGGGGACAGTGTTCTCGCTCTGGGCTAGGGGAAGGGGAAGCTCTGGCCTGTCCCAGGGGTGATTGATTGTCTTTAGCTTGACAGAGTTAGTCTGGAAGCATAGGTGGGCCTTCCGTGGGAGTGTTGTACTGCCGGTCTGTAGACAAAAGCCTTCCCCAGGTTTCTCACGGCCGGTCTTGATGAAAGAGACAAATTCATGTTTAACCATATCATTTATTAGCTGTTCATGGCGGAAAATGGATGCGTAACTATACCGTACCTGAGATTAAATACCTTTCACAGGGAGTAGTGTCTGGGAAGGAAAGCTGACTGGATAAGTCCGCCTCTCATTAGAATGGAGAACTCTGTTGTGGGCCTCCGTGACCACAGGTCACATTTCCTTATGTGAGGAGTGTGGCACATGTTCCAGCCCAGGAGTCTGGCAGGGTCACCTAAGTCTCAGGTGTGTGTCCGCTGAGTCTCCGGGTCTCCACCTGCTCTACCTTACTAAGCTTCCCGACATGGTTTTACCATCCAACAGTAACATGTTTTCTTAGTTATAAAAATAACTTGGGGGGCTGGAGAGATGGCTCAGTGGTTAAGAGCACTGACTACACTTCCAGAGGTCCTGAGTTCAAATCCCAGCAACCACATGGTGGCTCACAACCATCTGTAATGAGATCTGATGCCCTCTTCTGGTGTGTCTAAAGACAGCTACAGTGTATTCATATATAATAAATATATAAATCTTTTAAAAAAAAAGCTTTAAAAAATAACTTGGATGCAGAGGAAAAACTAAATTTGGAGCAAACAAATTATCCATATCTCAGAAATGGGACAGACATGGTCCTGTAACACAGTATTCACTAACAGGATAGAAAAACATCTGTTCCTTACACCTCCTGTCATTCCTTTGTTTGTTTGTTTGTTTGTTTGTTTGTTTCAGACAGCACCAGTTGCCCTTGAGACAGAAAACAGAGGTGAAATGAAGCTAGCTCTCCAGTATGTTCCAGAGCCAAGCCCTGGTATGCAATGACTTTATCTTCACATCCAAACCCTTCACTTACCTCTTTGCTCTCCAGATAACTTGGGTTCGGTTACGTTTTCAAAGATGAATTCCTGAGCACACATACTAAGTTAATAATTATGTAGACCAAAGGAGTCGACCCACAGTTGTAAACTAGAAAAGTCTTATTATTTCTCTTACAGTAAGAAATACAGACTCCTTACCATCTTCAGCATTTAGCTCGCTGATATGAGCTATGCTGACCTTGCTGTGGAACAGATTCCCAGAACCTTTTCATCGCCCCACTGAACAGCACTATACCCTTTAAACAGCAGCTCCCCTTCGCCCTTTCTCAGAGTGTAGGAGATATCAATTTACTTCCCATTTCTATGAGGAAATTCTTTGTTCTGTCTTTTCCAGTCCGCTAGGTAGTCCTTGTTTTGACTTCTCCTTGGTTCCTGAAAGTGTCCGTGTTTGTAGAACAGGCTTTCCTGCAGTGAGAATCTAGGCCTATTGACAGAGCTGTGATAAGGGGATGTGAGCCGAAAGGATTCATAGAAAGTGCCTAGGAAATTAGAGCTCCTTGATCTTCCCTTCTTCAACTCATTAGGAGATAAAGCTTTCTGTCTTGATTACTGATTGTAGCCTGGGCACTGGGGCCTCAGATCTCCAGCCATTTCAACAAGTCCAAAAAACTGGCAGGAAATGAATGCCAGATCCCGCCAACAACTAATTTCTCAGGCAGAGTGTCCCTAAAAGCTATAGAAATGTCTTAGTTGAAGTCAGGAGCTGTGTAACTCATGTGTTCAGTAATCAAGCCATAAAGCTACTGAGGAAAGGAATAGTGGCTGGTGAAAGCACAGGTTGAATTAGAAAAAGGCATTCTGCACTTAAAAGAAGAAAAAAAAGAAGAGGAGAAAGAAAGGGAAGAAGAGGAGGAAGAGGAAGGAGGAGAAGGAAGAGAAAGAGAAGGGGAAGAGGAAGAGGAAGAAATTTTTAAGCTAAATTATGGCCCAACCATTATAACTTCTGGATCTTTTCACATATGACTTGAGGTCAATCTGCACAGAACTGCCATTTCTAAGTTTCCTCACTGACTTGGTGGTGAGGGCTGAGGGAATTGTGTATTGCGTTGTTCTTTCCCTTGTCTGAGTTTTTACTTTGTAAGTGCTTCTCTCTGCATTTTCCTTCCCTTCTTCAACCTACCTAAGTCTCAGACGGAGTCTCAGCTCCACAAAGCTTTTCCTGACTCAGTTAGTACTCATTAAGCACATCATTTTCTAAAGCATTGTGGAAATAGCTGGACATTTCACACCATGTTTCATTTTTGTGCTTTTATTCGCATTAATTTTATTTAAATTGACTTCTCCTGTATAGCCACAAAAATTTCCAGGGGGCATAAACTATTTATAGTATTTATAATGTATATGTATGTTTGTATTAACATACACGCATGTGCGTGCACACATGAGCATGCGCACATGTGCACACACACAAGCACTTTATAGCTGTAGATCAATGAGTATGGTTTAGTTGACTAGACTAAACCACACAGAAAAATCGAATAATGTTCCTCTGTTTACATGCAAGCAGAAGTAGCACTTCAGGCTAATCCAGCTTCTTAGTAATTATCTATGATACTAACACTTACACTTGTACACTCAATAGCCTTATTATATATGTAAGGGTGTTTAACAAGGGGAGAAGGGGTGATTTTAAAAAAAGCATCTATTTTTGGTTACTTTACACTCAAATCTGCATTTAAAATGTCTTCCATTTAAAATATAAACTACCAGTTCACACTGGCAATGGTATTTGAAGGGGCTGTGCATTGTCTTGAGATATTTTGAATATAATTGTAAACAGATGATCCATACCCCTAATGTCTGATGTTGCTGAGCCAATTGAAACCCCAAAAGAAGGACAAATGTCCTGTTCTTAGAAGCAATATGAATGTTTCCACTGTCCAGAATTGTTTTCCTCATTTTTATTAGTTCTTTGAATTTTATGGAATATATTTGATCATATTCGCCTCCCTTCCAACTCCTCCCAAATCCACATTTCTTTACCAATGGAACTTTGAGTCCTCTCCTACCCCCAACCTCAAGTACGACAAACCAGAGGTGCATCCTTAAAGAAAAGTTACTCTCCCCCTCACCTCAAAGCACCTATCTGTTGACAGTAGCTCCTATTTTTATAGAGCTAGGTGACCTCAGGACATTCAGACTAAGAAGCATACAGCTGAATGTCCATAAGCTTAATCAACTTAATACCGTCAAATATTAGCTTGTTTCCTTGTGCTATCTCAAATGCAAGCTGATATCTTTTCCAAAAAGAAATGACAACACATTTTGTTTTTCTTGTTCAACTACAGGCAAAAAGGTTCCTACAACTGGAGAAGTCCACATCTGGGTGAAGGAATGCCTTGACCTCCCACTGCTAAGGGGGAGTCACCTAAATTCTTTTGTTAAGTGGTAAGGATATTGATAACTCCACTTTCCTTAGCTCTTCTGCAGCCTTGTCTTTGCTGGCTGGTATCAATTCTCTGTATCAGTGATGCTAACACCCATCACTTACAGATTATCAGAGACATCAAACTATAAGCGTCTATGGCATCAGCTCCCAAAGCTTTAATTGGTTTATAAAATCAAACCTAAGAGATCATATCTACAAATGAAACGAGATATTTGAAACACCATTGCTGAGGGCAGTTCTTACTACAAAGTAGCTGTCTTAGTTAGGGTTTCTGTTGCTGTAACAAAACACCATGGCAAAAAATCAGGTTGGGGAGAAAAGGTTTGTTTGGCTTATACTTCCATCATCCCAGGAAGTTGTGAGGGTAAAAATTAAAAACAACTTGGCAAGGACCGCAGGACGGCTTGCTGAGCTTGCTGAGAATAGCCATAATAAAAATATCAAGCCCCTCTAGGGTGACCAAAAATGTAGAAACAACCAAAGACATATCTTGACCAGTCTAAACATGCCCAAGTGAGTAATGGGCCACCTGGTGTTTATCCTAGAAGGTCTGAGGATTCATGGTCAAAAATAGTGGGCCATCCAGCCTGTCAAAATGATTGCTTAAGCAAAGTGCTGATGTTTGAAATACCCAATTATATGTAACCGCGCCAGAATGTCCCGATTTTCCCCCTTGTGCCTCCCCCTATAAACTAAAAGACCCCTATAAACTTCCTGGGGTCTTCATCGAAATTCTCTCCCCTGCGTGGGATGAGTTTCGATCCAAGGGCCCTTGTTAGTAAACTGCCTTTTGCCATTTGCATCGAGTCAGTCTCTCGTGTCTCCTTGGGTGCACGCTGATCGGGACTTGAGTCAGGGGTCCTCTTCTTGGGTCCTTACAAAGTAAGGACAGGAAGCAGAGCAGGAATCTAGAGGCAGGAGCTGATGCAGAGACCACCTGAGAGATGCTGCTTACTGACTTGCTCTCCATGGCTTGCTCAGCCTGCTTTCTTATAGAACCCAGGACCACTAGCCCAGAAATGGCCCCACCCACAATGGGCAGTGCCCTCTCTCTTCAATCACTCATTAAGAAAATGCCCTACAACTGGAACTTGTGGAGGCATTTTCTTAGTTGAGGTTCCCTCCTTTCAGATGAGTCTAGCTTGTGTCAAGTTGACACAAGACCAGCCAGCATGCCAGCTTAGCAAAATGTTAATGCTGAATGTCACTCTATTTGTCTTCTTAGTGAACAAGGGAGGATTTCTCTTGTTTCCTATGTTCTGTTTACCAAGGTTTTATTTTGGTCCTTCCTTCCTTCCTTCATTCCTTCCTTCCTTCCTCCCTTCTTCTCTCTTTCTCTCTCTTCTCTTTCTTACCTATTTGCATCAGATTGCAAATATTTTGAGAGTGATTTTCCAATCAAGTCCCAAGCAGGAGTTAGCACATAAGATACTTTGAGTTTTCAGACAGTAAACTTTCCTCTCTGTTATACATACAAAATGACGGCGTCTAGTAAACACTGTTGAGTAGATATTGGTGTGGCCTTCTAGCTCCAGTTTTATCCCTAGAGATGGATGCTACTAGAAGATAAGTTGTACTATGTAGGCATATATGATGTAGACTTTTGTGTGTATATGATATGGCCTTGTTTGTTAAACACATAGTACTTTGCCTAGGTTTTCTGACAAGGTAACAGTTCAGGTCAGTCTCCCACTTTCAGACTTTCTTGTCTTTATGAGAAGCATGACAAGTTAATGTTCATTTAGTTATTATCATAAATGAATCACATGTGATTACAAAATTGTCAAATTATGTATTCTAAAAATCAAACCTAGCCTGTTGGAGAGATTTCTCTCTCTCTCTCTCTTTTTTTTTTTTTATTTTGTATGACATTAATTCCTTAGATTGACAATCAGGAATACGCAGAAGTTCTCAATTGTTAAATTATTGGTTTCAAGAAACATTAACTAGTAAGTCTCAAATTATGACAAAATTTCTAACATATAAAACTTATATGAAGTTTACTGTTGTGATCATATGACACATTTTATATATTTAATCCATTTATTTTCTTGCCAATATTTATTTCACTGATACACATTAATCTGTACAAATTATCTTTATAGGGTATACTAGGATTTTTTATTACATTTTAATCAATGCTTTATTATGAGATCAAAAGGACAATGTGATGGGAAGAAGCCCATGCCCACTACAAACGGATAAAAAGCCTTTGTGAGCTTGAAAGTGTTTTTATGTTTTAATCAATCAGTTGACTAATCCCCATTGACATATATTCATTATACATAGTGGTAGATTATAAAAAGACATAGATCATATAAAAAAACATTTCAAAGTACACAATGTGATTTGAGTATTTCTGCCCTTCCGGCCTTCTCAACTCCTCCCCCAACCCGACCCCCACTGTTTATCCCCTTTGTTTCCTTTCTAGACAATTCTGCCTTTACTTTCCTCCTCCTCACCCCCACTCCCTCTCTCTCTTTCACACACACACACACACACACACACACACACACTACATAATTTTTGTGTGTCTTTCTGACAGTTGAGTTCACATGACTATCAGCTCATCTGTGCTAAACTCTAAGAGAAGCCTCTCGCAGCTCCCACACATTACGTCATCACGTCACTATTGACTGAGCCGCGTACGCTGCGTGCTACTTAGTTCTGTTACGCCCCCAAAGTCAGCATCACCATTCCAACAGCTTCATACTGAGGAAGCGAGTTTCCTAGGAGCCGAACGATGTTCCTGGAATCCATAGTCAGTAAGGCTCCGAGTCTGGCTTCAAACCCAGTTTGGCTGATTCTGTGCGTAATCTTTCCAGCACGATGCATCTTCCCCTGACTTTTACAAAACTGGCAGTAGGATCTCTCCAACATGTGCTCTCTTTGGTGTGTGCGTGTGTGTGTAAAAGCCAGAGGAAACCTTGAGTATCATTCTCAGGAATGGAATCCACTTTCTTTGAGTCTGGGTCTCTCACTGGCCTGCCTCTTACCAATTAGGCTATTCTGCATGGCTACAGAGACTCAGGAATTCTTCCATTATTATTCAATTCCCAGTACTGGGATTAAACAGGCATACTACCCTGCTCAGGTTTTGGTACGGGTTCCAGATTCTGGTGATAGAACTCATGTCATCATGCTTGCCAAACCACTCCACTAACAGCTATCTCCTCAGCTTTCTTTTGTTTTGTTTTTAAGACTCACTTCAATCTTCCTACCTCAGCCTGATGGATCCTGGGAGTCTAGTTATGAGCCACCCACTTGGCTTCCATGCTTTCTTCTTCCATTGCCTGTCTGATAGCTGTGCCGAGGGGCACTGACAACATAAATGTTCACTTTTTGTTGTTGTTGTTGTTGTTTTTGATTATTCTTTATTGGATATTTATTTACATTTCAGATGTTATCCCCTTTCCCCATTTCCTCCCACCCAGAAACCCCCTATCCCATCCCCCTTCCTCCTGCTTCTATGAGGATGTGCCCCCCCACCTTCCCACTCCCTCCTCCCCAGCTTCATTGTCTCTCATTTAGTGTCAAATGTTTCTAAAAATAGGATGGAAAATAAAGGTCAAGACATCAATCTATTTGAAGGTGAAAGTCTAGTGACTTTAAAGGTCAAGGGAATTAAATTTAAAATTAAGTTTACTGGCTTTTGCTACTTCCTGCCCAAGTTTATTTCCAGGTTAATCTCAGCTAGAGTTATTACCTGGCTAGAATTAGGATTCTTTCAGCAAGTGAATTCTAGAAATCTTTCACTGAAAATGTTTGAGTCCTACGGGGCCTTAGAAGTTGAATTTTTTTATATTCTCTCAATACAATGCCCCCACACTGGAGCATCCAGCCTTCATGGGACCAAGGACTTCCTCTCTCACCTATGCCCAATAAGGCCATCCTCCCCTACATATACAGCTGGAGCCATGGGTCCCTCCCTATGTGCTCCCAGGCTGGTGGCTTAGGTCCTGGGAGCTCTGGTTGGTTGGTATGTTGCTTTCCCCATGGGGCCCACAAACCCCTTCAGCTCCTTCAGTCTTCTCTCTAACTTCTCATTGGGAATCCTGTGCTCAGTCCAATGGTTAGCTATGAGCATCCACATCTGAATATGTCAAACTCTGGCAGACCTCTAAGGACACAGCTTTATCAGGCTCCTGTCAGCATGCACTTCCTGACATCCACATCAGTGTCTACCTTTGGTGACTGCATATGGGATGGATACCCAGGTGGAGTAGTCTCTGGACAGCCCCTCCTTCAGTTTCTGTCCCACACTTTGTCTCTATATTTGCTCCCTTGAGTATTTTATTACTGCTTTTAAGAAGAACCAAAACACCCCACACACGTTAGTAAATGTTCACTTTCTTAAGTAAAATGTCTTCATGTCACTTTCTCTTTTTATAGTACCATCCTTCCAGATACCAGTAGGAAAAGTCGCCAGAAGACAAGAGCTGTAGGAAAAACCACCAACCCTGTCTTCAACCATACCATGGTATATGATGGGTTCAGGCCTGAAGATCTGATGGAAGCCTGTGTAGAACTCACAGTCTGGGACCATTATAAACTAACCAACCAGTTTCTGGGAGGTCTCCGGATTGGCTTTGGAACAGGTAACATTTGTTACAAGTGTAATTCCCTATGAGGCAAATGCTCCAGGACATGCTAAAGTCCTAATTGTAATGAAACCATTGGGTGAAGAGTCATCGGGAATCCAAGGATTCTTGGTTAAGAGGGTCTGAAGGGTCCAACATCTGTCCTTTCAGAACCTAAGTTATTGTTGGCAGGTTCCAAAATCAGAGCTCTACAGTTCTGACTTTGTGGACAAATATCCTTACCTGGTGCCACTAATGAGTACTACACAGCATGTCCAAGTCAATGTACATGCATTTCTTTAATTCAATGGCTCATGAAAGTTAAACAATGACAAGAAGTATGCCCAAGAAGACAGGTACTGCCAACACTCAAGGAGATGAGTGAACAAGCTAAGCCTGCTCTGAACAATTAGAGACTACCATTTCATCAGTGTGTTAGGTGTTCCATTTACATTGTGACATTTATTTCACAGTTCCAGGAGGCAGTTAGTAATAGTGCCAAAGGAACCAATACTCCACAGTAAAATAATAATGATGATGATGATTAATACACAGTTTATTTCTGTGGCAAATTATGAAACTGAGTCTTCAAGGCAAAACGCCTTCGCCAATATTCCCAAGGCATCATCCAGTCTTCTCTACCTCAGGACATAATCCTCCCAATTCTCCTATGCCCTGAAAAATTATCATCCAGTTTTCACATTCACATTCAGATGAAGATCAATCATCTGGGGGCCATGAGGATTAAAATAAGGAAGCTACTAAAATAGTAAGCTGGTTCTTCCTTATGCCCAGATGTGTTCTCCAGGTGTGTGTAAACTCTTCCTTGTCTTCCCTGCCCCCCAGCGGGAACGTAAATGAAAATGTTAAACTATCTTTCAGGAAAAAGCTATGGGACTGAAGTGGATTGGATGGATTCGACTTCTGAGGAAGTTGCCCTCTGGGAGAAGATGGTAAATGCTCCCAACACTTGGGTGGAAGCCGTGCTGCCCCTCAGGATGCTTCTGATTGCCAAGATTTCCAAGTAATCCTCGTCAGCCGATCCCGCCATCAAAAACTCCTCCCCAGGGGGATCTGAACTTGAGATATGACTTCATGGACAAATATCCTCCCCCTTTGTCACTAATGACTACCATAAAGCACGCCCAACTTAATCTGCATGCATTTCTTTGGCTACGTGACTCAAGGGAGTTAAACTATGACAAGATGTACAGCCCAGAAAAATTGTGGTGTGATGCAGACATTCAAGGAGACAGCTGAGCAAGCTAGGAAAACTGAGCTGTTGCTTCCACACCGAAGAAAAAGTTAGCTTTATGTGTTTCGTACCACAATCTATGTTGCAGTTCAGGCCTGCCATTTGGTTATTAAATGCTTGCTGGGCCTGTAAATAGGAGGGTTATGGGCAAAGCGACGACGAGGATACTCCTGGGATGAGGCAGAGAGAGGAAGGACAGCGGTGATGACAACGACCTACATAATATGACGACGATTTTCTTAGTAACCTTTAATGAAACATTGAATTCCATCTTAGGGCAGTAAGACTGACTTCACTGCTCGTAAATCTGCCTTGAGAAACCACACACACACCCCGGACTCCTGTAACCTCACCTTCTCAATCTCAAATGGACTTTGGTGCCACCTACTGGCTGCATATGGAATTCAGCTCTTGGCTTATTTTGGCTTAATTTTTGCTAAAATGGGTGGCAAGTCTGTATTTTATAAGACTATGCTAAAATATTGCATATAATTGATGGTTTTTCTTATAATTTAACTATACGAAAACAGCATAAAGAGTAGTCACAGATATGCTTTGCTACAAAGTTTTAATCAGAATATAAATTGCTCAACTGTAATGTACTTCCTATGTATAATTTTCATAAGGTATTTTGTAAAAACCCTTAGAATAAATTATCGTGATTTAAATTGTGCTGGTAGTTTAGGCTGACTTCTTATATTTAAAAAAAATATGTTGCATTAGGGATCCTAAAATATAAATTCTCTAGTATGGCTAATTTCTCTGGCGTCTTCTATGCAACTCTCAGCATTGTCTCATCTATCTGAGCTCTCCGGTTGTTATAAAAGGCAGAATTTTTACTTAATTCTTCTTAAATTTTTCCACAGAGATTTCTTTGGACCATTTTGATGCAGGAAACATCACTCCACCTTAAGACCTCAGCTAGTTTTAATTTCTAAAAGCAAGCTCTGACTTAACGTAAATTTAAGGAAGTCTGGATAATTCCTGAATGTGAAATCTTATAAAGATGTTTTATAGATATTAGCAAAGCCACATGGCTCTTGCCTATAAGCCCTGACCTAGAAGACTGAGGCAGGCTAGCTTGGGCTACATAGTGAGAGTGGTCTAAAAACAAACACAAACCAAACAACACTAAATAAGTAAATAAATAAATAAATAAATAAATAGGCAAGCCTACTAGATTATTTGCCTTTTCACGAAAACAAAGACTGCAGCCTTGAATCCACTGGGTGCCGCATTAATAGAGGCCCCCTGAAGTTGGGTGCCGCGTTAATAGAGGCCCCCCTGAAGTTGGGTGCCGCGTTAATAGAGGCTCCCCTGAAGTTGGGTGCCGCGTTAATAGAGGCCCCCCTGAAGTTGGGTGCCGCGTTAATAGAGGCCCCCCTGAAGTTGTGCTGGAACACAGTGCGATCATCTCCCAGCATGCATGCATCCCAGAAGCACTACAGAAATCAGTTGCCCTCCTCCAACCCCAGCCAGGACTACCTGCCTCCTCTCACCCCACACCTCTTACCTTCAAGATACCAACAGGGCAGTAAAGCTACCACCCTCCCCAAAGAAACGCAGAAGGATGAGATTTGCTTCGTTTTGTTTGTGCCTGGGTGACTTTTAGGCATGGACCTTCCTGAAGCTTCAAAGCGTATTTCTAGAGTCCCGTTGCAAAGGCTTGTTGAATATACCAAAGAATATTTCTGTGGTTTTCTCAAGTGTTGCACTAGGATTTTAAAACGTGTATCCTCACTCCTTACTTAGTCAAGTGCTCATCTAGTTCATTTGGCTCTTACATTAATGGTGTGCAGAGTAGGAATGATAAGGTCCACCACAGGCATTTCTCGATGAATCAAAGTCTAGATAGGTAAGCAAGGTTTCCCCCAGGGGTAAAAATCAGGATAAAAGGTTAGCTAGTGTCCTGAGACTCCATCTCTTTGTTCACCTACTTTTCTTTTGTGTTGGATTCATTCTTTTTAAGTATACTTTATTTTTTGATGTCATATCTGTATATAATATATTTTGATCAAACTCACCCCTTTCTGTCCATCCAGCTCCTTCCAGATCCCCCTGACCTGCCACTTCTCCATTTCACCTTCTTCTTTCTATGGAATCACTCAGTCTAGTTGGTACTGCCAGTTCGTGAATAAGTGTAGGGCCATCAGCTGGAGAAAGGGCAACCTACCCAGGGTAGCATCTCTGAAGAAAACTGGTGCTTCCTCCCCCAGTGGCCATCAACTGCCAACAGTTTCTCAATTATGGGTGGGGCTCCACTCCCATTCTGTTGTGTGACAAAACTTTCCCTGAGGAGATGCAACACACACATCTCCTTTCCCCAGAAACGGATTCCACGACAAGCCAAAGTATGATACCATCAGCAAACCACTGAGTTTTATTGGAGTTACTTACCAGAGTATGGTGAGGGTTACTTACAGGAGCAGAAATGACTCAAAAAAGATGCCTGCATCACCAAAGCCCACCCAAGCATGGGTGACAGCTCCCGAAAGCTGGGAACCTGGAGCACACTGCACAGCCTGCAGGCTACTCTATAGGTTGGAGAATGTCCTTTCCATGTGCCTCAGTTGGTCTAAACCTAGTCCAGGCAGCTTGACTGTTTTCTGTTTCTTCCAGGCAGCTGGTCTGGTCTTTGCAGTTTAGCTCAGTCAGGCTGTCAGCATTTATCATTTATGCCAGCAGGGAGGGGCCTGGTAGATCTGATCAGGCTCAGGGACTTCCTAAAGCTATTTTGAGTTGTTTACCTTCCTGCTTAAAGAGCTTCCCTGCAGAGTGGTATATTTGAGGAGACTGTTACACAACATACTCCTGTGGAAATTTTGACTGGCTTGATCCTGTGAGGGTCTCGTGAATATGCTTATGACTGCATGAGTTCACACCCCGAAAGCACCCTTTGGTGTCCAGGTGACACACTGGTTTGAAGCTGTCAAATCTCTACATCTTTTTACCCCGTCTTCTGTGATGACCCGTGAGCTCTCGGGGGCACAGGGAGCTGGTGGTACAGATGGTGCATTTAGAGGTGAGCACTCTAGTCCTTTATTCTTCATATCTACTGCAAAAATAAAGCTTCTCTGCTAAGTGCTGAGGGCTGCAGTCATTTATAGCTAGAATGGTGTTTAGAAGGATGTTCTATCTATGTCCAACAACACAATAGTAATAAATTCTTTCCTTAGTCCTCTAACCTACCAAGCCATGGGTTCTTTCTTGTCCCAGTTAACAGTGCCAAGTGTGAATTCCACCTTGAGAAATAGGCCTTAAGTTGAATTACATTCATGTCATCTTTGCACCAAGGAGCACATCTTGCTGAGCTGATCCTTATTGTAGGGTGCAGGGTTCACAGCCGGGTAAGACTGTTGATGTCCTTCCCTACAGCAAGCGTACAGAACTCCTTCCAGCACTATGAAAGCTAGCCAAAAGGAAGACACCTTCAGGTCCGTATCAGCTTGATTTTCCATAGTCTGTGACAAATGCATGTGTGTCTTCAGTAATAGGTTCTTACTATCAAGTCCTGGTGGGCAACCAAGAAAAATGAAGATAGCCTGTGTAGTTTTAGGAGTCTCTGGGATTCTTGTGGTCGACAACTTGAAGGCGAATGTCTTGTTCCTGACACTTGGCTTTTTGTTTGGTGATCTATGGCTTCTGGGGAGAATTCTGTCCCCTGTGTAAGGTATCTCCAATTAAATATATATACATATACATGTATATATATTCTAATATTTATATTTGGAAAGCTTATAAAATAGGTTTCCTCAAACTTTTTCAAACATCCCATGTGTTAGTATCCCTCCTCCTGCCTCTTCAATAAATCTTTTCTTCACTTTGATTTTAAAAAATCTATGGATTTGATGTTACAGAAGTTAATTTGTACTTAACAAAATACATTTTTAAATGTGGAAAAACTATTCAACAGACAAAGATGCCTGAATATCTGTTATGTGTGTGGCACTTAGGTAGGTACTGAGGAAGACTTATCCCATCCTGGAGAATCAACTGCTGCTAATATTTTGAGAGTTTTTCCGATTCTTAGAAAATATATTTTGTAATTTCAGTTTGTTATGTCGCATAACTATATAAGGCAATCAACAAATACAATGTTCACTATATATAAAACAAGAAGTGAGACATTCTAATTTTCTGGTCACTTGTCTCCACTGTACAAGTTCTAGTTCATGCACTGTAGCTTGAGATTTAAGGAAGAGGTGTAAAAATGAGAGAAAAAAATTACAATACGTTTGTTTACATTTTTGGTATTTTCTCTTTTCACTCTTTTGGGTAAAATTTCTCTGACAAGTTCAGAGAACTATATAATCCATCTTAATAACTCTCACTCCCACCTTCACTTATTTCCTTCCCATTGATGATGCCCCACCCCCTTCCTTACAAATCTTTCCCCCAGATTCCTATCCTTTCGTTTTGCTTTCTTTTGTTTTGTGACCTGCTGATTTTTAGCCAGGGTAGTCTATGTGACCACATTTGGAACTATCCACAGTAGTCATACATTTTTAAAGTCTTTCATATTCATTTGTACAAAACTTCAGTATTTGTTAAAATTTCAGTTTAGCAGACCAAACCAATACAGAGTTTAAGGGTGGTAACTCAGTAGTGGCTGTTGCATAAACAGCCTGCAGCTAGTTGACTAAAGAAACGGTAACTAGTTGACTGGCTTATTGGCAAGGCTGGAGCCAATGAAGTTGTTTTCTGTTTCTTGCCAAGGTTTGTTGTATAAAATACAACAGTCCAGCCACCCTGTCTGTGGCACCTTTTCTTGAAGAACAACTGTTATGGGCAGGCCCAGCTCACTGAATGACAACGCAGGCTGAGCAAGCCAGTAAGCAGCCGTCCTCCGTTGTTTCTGCTCTGGTTCCTGCCTTGAACTGTTGTCCTGGTTTTCCTAAGGGATGGACTATAATCTGAAATAAATCCTTCCCTCAACAAGCAGTGTTTGATTTATCACAGCAGCAAAAAAGTGAATTAGGACTGGTACTAAGTTACGGTTTGTAGTGGTTTGCAAATGCTTAGCTCAGGGAGCGGCACTATTAGAAGGTATGATCTTGTTAGAGGAAGTGTATCACTGTGGGTGTGGGCTTTGAGACCCCCACCCCCAAGCTGCCTGGAGACAGTCTGCTCCTGGCTTCCTTTTGATGAAGTTGTAGAACTCTCAGTTCCTCCAGTGCCATGCCTGCCTGGATACTGCCATGTTTCTGGCCATGATGATAATGGACTGAACCTCAGAACCAGTAAGCCAGTGCCAATTAAATGTCCTTTATAAGAATTGCCTTGGTCATGGTGCCTCTTTACACCAATAGAAACCCTAACTAAGACACTGTTAAATGTAGTTAGGAGCAAGAAGTTCTGCTATTTCTGCCAAATAATAGAGTGAATGCAGGGAACTCACAGAATGTATATTGCAAAGGGCAGAAGAAAGAAAGGGAGAAAAAAGGAAGAAGGAAGGAGAGAGGGAGGGAAAAGGAAAGAAGAAGTGATAAAGAAAAAGTATGAAGAGACATATTTATATCTGATTGGAAGTGTGTGTGTGTATTACAGTACCCTGTTGTTATGTATAACATGTATGCCTTTATCATACACTTGAAAAGTTTTAAAAGTGTAAAACATCCAGTTTAGGAAAAGTTCCTAGCCCTCAACCTTGCTATCCCTGCACAGACAAGAAATTTGTGATCTTAGAAACAATCGCAAATAGTTGAGACAAAAGGGACCATCTCACCCTTTTGTCTAGTGTTTTGTTCTCGATGAATGAGGAAGCATTTAAACATTCCTACAACAGTTTTAATGATTCATAGACTTCTTTGTCACCACATGGGTATATGTGAAATCTAACTCTCCAACATGGACATTACACAAAGAGCCAACTAGTTCTCTGTTCTAAAGTTTCACACTACCAAGCTTATTTTTGATCATCAAGTTTTGTACCTTCCAGCCGGGTGGTGGTGGCGCACGCCTTTAATCCCAGCGCTTGGGAGGCAGAGGCAGGTGGATTTCTGAGTTCGAGGCCAGCCTAGTCTACAGAGTGAGTTCCAGGACAGCCAGCACTACACAGAGAAACCCTGTCTCGAAGAAAAAAAAAAAAGTTTTGTACCTTCCCTTTTTTCAGTTATTTTTCTAATGTAAGTATTTTCTGTGCTGTGAAAATTTCCCTTTAGCCAGGCAATGGTGGTGCATGCCTTATAATCCCAGCACTTGGGAGGCAGAGGCAGGCAGATTTCTGAGTTCGAGACCAGCCTGGTCTACAGAGTGAGTTCCAGGACAGCCGGGGCTACACAGAGAAACCCTGTCTCGAAAAACAAAACAAAACAAAAAATTTCCCTTTAAACATGATAATGCTCAATTAGCTGTTTCCTTTGGATATTTACATTACAAGCTTCTTAATTATTATGAGACAGATGGCAGAAGCTTTGCACAAGGTTCTTTCCTTTTTTCAGATTATTTCAAACAAAGAGCTTCACACAAGGGCAATTACCAGCTCAGAATACAGTTAAAGCACTTTAGTTAGCATAGACACTCTTAACTGACTTTCACCCATAATATAAAGGGCTTCTTTCACCATCCCTTACAAGTCCTGGAAATCATAAATAATAAAGAGAACTTTATTTATTTATTTTTACAGGGTTTTGGTGGATGAAATACCATCTAATTTTTACTTGCATTTGTTCGATCATTCTTGAGGCTCAGCTGTTTCCGTATCCTTGTTTTTTAAATATATTTATTAATTTCTCTTTTAACATGATGCTCTATTAATGCCTCTAAGCTTTGTATTAATGTGTCAATCTTATCTGACACTTTTATACATATTTGATTATCACCTTTGGCGTCTTGAACAGACTTGTATCTCTGTCTCTCCATTGTGCATGGCACAAGTGTAATCATCACGGGGCTTTTTGCATTTTGTTTCTGATTTGATCTCACCTGTATTGTTCATTGTGTTTCTGTGTGTTAATTTATTTTCCCAATAGATAAACAGAAGGGTTGAGTGTCTAACTAAAGGTATCCATTCCCAGAGGTAAGGTCAGTGTTAAGAGAAACAAAAGAAATTTCACTTAGAGTAGCTGAGCTAAGACTTGGGTCCAGACTCTCCTTTGTGTGCACCCATGGCAACTATGTTTCTATAGACAGTAGTTTCTTTTCAGAACAAAGAGGAGAATAAGTCTCTGTAAGCTTGCTTTGTTTACTGATATGAGAAATCAGGATTTGTCCCCTATTGTAAAGAGGAAGCTGACTTTGTGGATGGCTTATAGCTATGCGGGACAGGCGGGACAGTGATAGTGAACTGAGAGCTGTGATTGGTTCAAAAGACAGGCGTAGCCTGACTAGATTGGCTCTGAACTCCCCCTATTACCTCACTGCATTCTACAGGTCTGTCCACCAATTACAGGATTCCTTACTGGAAAAACCAACTGCTGGGAATGCAAAGCGTCCGTAGCAACGCCGTTTTGAACTCAGAAGGGGGAAAAGGCTGAAGTCAGTTTTTTCGCGGAGCGTCTATGCCGCAGGAGGAGAAGACGCTTAGGATGGATACCCCACCCCCGGACGAGATCCTAGGAAAACAAAACGAAAACCTGCAAAACCAGGATGACGAATTGGGGTTTAAGGAAATGGACGGTCTGAGAGAAGCTTTGGCCAACCTTAGGGGACTGTCTGAGGAGGAGAAGGGCGAGAAGGCAATGCTCCGCTCCCGCATCCAAGAGCAATCCCAGCTCATCTGCATCCTGAAACGCAGATCCGATGAGGCCCTGGAACGCTGCCAGATCCTAGAACTGCTCAACTCGGAGCTGGAGGAGAAGAGGATGCAGGAGATGGAGAAGATGAAGGTCCAGAGTGAGCACGCCCAAAAGCTGGAGAGTCGCTTTATGACTCTGGCAGCCAACCACGAGATGATGATCCGCTTCAAGGACGAGCACAAGAGTGAAAACATCAAGTTGAAGGAAGAGAATGAGAAGCTGAGGCAGGAGAATAGCAGCCTCTTCAGCCAGGCTCTGAAAGACCAGGAGGCCAAGGTACTGCAGCTCACTACCCACAATAAGGCCCTGGTGGAGGAACTGGAGGTCTTGAAACAGAGATGCGCTCATGAAGCCAGCCAGGCTCAGGCCCGAGAGAAGGAGCTGCTGGGTCTGCAGAACCAGCAAGCCTGTGACCATGCCAAGGAGATGGAGGAGCTGCGTAGCGAGCTACAGAGCATCAAGCAGCAACACCTGCAGGCCGCGGAACAGATGGGGAAGGACCAAGAGGCTAATATCAACCTGAACCAGGAGCTGCAGGCCAAGCTGCAGACTATCATGCGTGAGAAAGAGGAGCTGCTGCAGCTCTCCATGGAGAGGGGCAAGGTGCTTCAGAACAAACAGGCTGAGATCCGCCAGCTTGAGGAGAAGCTGGAGACAGCAGCCATGGCCAGGAAGCATGCACTAGAACGCTTTGAGCAAGAGGCGGTGGCCGTTGATAGCAACTTGAGAGTTCGCGAGCTTCAGCGCAAGGTAGATGGGATCCAAAAAGCTTACGATGAGCTGCGTCTCCAATCAGAAGCCTTCAAAAAGCACAGCCTGGATCTCTTAAGCAAAGAGAGAGAACTTAATGCCAAACTCCGCCATCTCTTTCCATAAGAAAAATTGTGCTTCCTGCTGTCTCCAGTTAATACTTCAAGTATATGTGCCTTAGATTTATGGCAAAAACAAAGATAACTCATTTACTATACTTTTAAGTACAAAAAACACTTTACTATGACGTTGTTGTTGTTACTGTTGCAAAATTAATGTTAATTTTCAGTTCTACCCCCTAGAATACATTTAAGATTAACCAGAGTCCCCGCTGTGCCTTCAAAGATTTCTTAAGATTATCCGTATCTTCTACCTCATAACTCACTCATTCTCAGCCTCAGACATCTTTCTATAGCTTGAAAAGATGTATGATTTGATGGATCCTAAGATGACCGTGCTGTTGTGAAAAGGGAAGACACAGCCCCATTATCCATTGCAGAACAATAGGCTTACAACACTGTAGTTGGGCATACAGATGTCAGCATGGCAGAGCAAACACTTCTCAGCAAAAAGAGTCTGATTGGATCAGCTTTGTATTAGCTTAACTAGGCAAAAGTTTGATCATTCACTTGTGTGTCAAAGTATAAAAGCCAGTTCTGTTCCGTTCATTCTATTGAGCATTAAGATTCCAGTTCCTTAAGTCAACCAACTCTAGTATTTCCTGCAAGTTTATCTTCCACTTTCTTGGTTTTCTCCTTAATAACTGAGAGGATTTAGACGTTCTCTATTGAGACTCTCAATGGTTTCATTTTCTATTTTGCAATACGCCAATAGGCAAAAAACAAAACAAAACAAAACAAAACAAAACAAAAAACCCTCAATTTAGGATAACCACTCATAGCAGATTAGGTTTGATTTTGGTAGCAGCTCATATATTGCTTTCTGTTTCTGTCAGTACACTTTTGTGTAATTAACTTTTGTGTTTTAAAAGTCCAAGCTGAATGTGTATATGTATATTTATGACATTCTTTGTAGAAATAATTCAGTTTTGTAAAAAGCAGCCATTTAACATAGTTAAATGTAGATTAATGTAAACTTCTTAAGGAAGTTTTCAAGTTAATTACCAGAATATAATTTATTTTCTTATTTCTCCTATATTTAGTCATTGTTTTATATGCAATTATGAATACCTATAAGATAGATTATAGCATAGTAATTTCCTCATTCATTTGATACCAGGAACGCCAAAAGTTACATAGCAAGTTTGATTTACTTAAAAAAAAAAAAAAGAACTATTGCTTGGGGACTTTCTTTGCTTGTTGTTGTCTGTTTTGTGAGAAAGAGAAACTTATACAGCCCAGGTTGCCCTTGAGTTTACTACATAGACAATGTCATGATATAAATGAAGAAGGAAGACTAGAGAATGTGATTGTTGTATATCAAGTACTTTTAATGTTTTGTTTTTAGACTGTGTGTGAGTGCTTTGCCTGCACACATGTATGCATCATGTGTGTACCCAAGAAGCATAGAAGACGGCACCAGATTCCCTGGAACTAGAGTCATAGATGATTGTGAGCCACCACGTGGGTGCTGGGAACTGAGCCAGGGTCCATAGCAAGAGCAACAAGTGCTCATAGCCACTGAGTCGTGTCTCCGGGGGCCCCCCCCCCCCCCCCGCTGAGGCCTGTCTCCACCCACCCCCACCCCGCCCCTGTTGAGTCCTGTCTCCGCCCACCCCCACCCCCACCCCCGCTGAGTCAAACACTTTTCACACTCAGACAACTCGGGAGAGGATGTGTTGTCACCATTTTATAGATGAGACAGTGAGACTCTAAGAGGGTGGCTTGTCTAAAGCCATGAAGACTTAGAGAGGCTGAGAGAGATCTAAATTGAGGGCTTTTAGGCAGGGTGCCAGGAGACTCCCTGGCTTGCTTTAATCCTTATTATTGTCATGAAATTAGTGTTTTAACAAAGGGCATCTACTTTTATTCTTGTGTATGACACTGCCAATTAAGTAAGCAAATCTGATTCTGGCTCTAAAATCCATGCTTCCTCCCGGTATATAAACTACCTTTGAAACACAAACACGCACATGGCGGTGGCGGGGGATGCAGTATTATTTGTGTGGGACAGCCCTTTGTGTTTAATCTCTGACCATTCAAGAATAAGCAATCAGGGTACTTCCTACCTCTATAAGTAATATTTATCATTGGAACAACTTGACAACATGTAAATTGGCTTACTCTAAACCATTATCTTTAAAGGGAAAAATTAAAAGGCAAAACAACAAAACCCTTTTCTAAAGCAGACCTAATTTTTTTTCAATACTTACAAGCAATAACCCTAATATGAAAAGCAACAGAATAGAGAGACTAAACTTAAAAACACCGTGTCTGCTGTGATGCCGAACTAAGCATGATCTCTTGGAAAAGCACACACACACACACACACACACACACACACGTCCTTGGTGTACCCTGAAGGATGACTCAAAGTTCTAAAGACCTGTAAGACTTTTCAAAGAGAAGCGTTGATGAACTGCTGTGTTTTCAGAGCACTGCCCCTGTATCAGTGGGTGAAATGAGTTTAGGTTAGTTCTTAGGAAAGGACGTGTGAAAAACCCAGGTCTCCACAGCTCCATTCTATTGAAGTTAAGAAAAATGTTTAAGGTCTTGGAAGGAGCCCTGGCACCAGTACCTATTACTTTACAAAACCCTCTCTCACCAAGATACCAATGGAGTAGCAGTGGCTGAATCAGGACTCCACCAAGTGAATCTACCTTCCCCACTAAGAGACTGAGCAGATCTTTAAGATCTAACCACTGGGGCACAAGGAAAAAGGGCTGTAACTCTTCTCTCCCTAATGGCTACCCTACCCAACCAGTTGGTGTGTCTTCCAGCATCCATTTTCCCAAACCAGGCCATCTGGAAATGCTTCAGCCAAGCGTTTTCAGAGGGCATGTTGCCATGATTAATTCAGGTGAATCAGGTTGTCCCACTGTGATGGGGATGAAGCTAATGTATGCTACGTCATGGGGAGAGCTAGAATGATGGGAGATGAGTGTTTAATGGACCACTAACAGTCTGCTGTACTGTATCCACTTAAGTTCCCAAGTCCATGGCAGCCAGGGAGTACTTTTTAAAGAAATGTAATCATAAATCTTGGAAACAGCTATCAGAAAGTGGAGCACTGGCTAAGAATAGGCTTTTGTAATTATTTTCCATCTTCCTAAGAACACACTGATGTTATCTTCTAAATGCTACAGACATCTTAAGCCTAATGGCCTGGGCTGTGCAGTTGTACATCGGTGCTTGACGAGCATCTCTCCTGGAAAAAGTCAAGAACCAAGCATTTTCCACCTGTAAAACAAATTAAGAAAAACTTCCCCTTGAAAAACCTGCCTTGCCAGGCGGTGGTGGCGCATGCCTTTAATCCCAGCACTTGGGAGGCAGATGCAGGAGGATTTCTGAGTTCGAGGCCAGCCTGGTCTACAGAGTGAGTTCCAGGACAGCCCGAGATATACAGAGAAACCCTGTCTCGAAAAACCAAAAAAAAAAAAAAAAAAAAGAAAAGAAAAGAAAAACGAAAAGAAAAACCTGCCCGGTCATTCACTGCACATCTAATTGACTATGATATCCCACAAGTCCCAACTCCCCAGGCCCACAGTGGGACTCTGACATTTGCTAGTTGCCAGATTGTTCTCATCTACATTCTGACCCACTCTTCCGTGGTCTCATCTAAAATAATGTTCTCTTTCCTATTGAAGGCTTAATACAGTTTGGATCTTAAATATCCACATGCTCATGTGCAAAAGGCTTGGTCCCCAGAGGGAGCACCATTGGGAAGTGGGACTTGGAGCTTAACAGAAGATCTTTCGGTCACTTGCTACTGGGGGGGGGGGGCGCGCGACTCTGAGACCCTGATCCTTTCCTCTTTCTTTGCTCCCTGACCATGAGGTGGGTGGCCTTGCTCTGCTGTGTGCTCCAGACATGATACACTGCTGGGCCCCACAGCAGGGGGGCTAAGTAATCATGGACTAAAATTGTAAAACTAAGTGAATCTAAACCTCTCCCTCTCATCAGCCAACTGTTTCAGTATTTTTCATACTGATGGAATGCTAACATGAAATTATAGATTCATTACATCGTTATAGTAGTAAACAATTAGAAATAGCTTATTCAGCATTAAAGAACAAGCAGTTAACTTTACCTTTTTTAATTCAACACAACTGTGGTGAAATTTTTTTTTAAAAAACGCTCCTTGTTAAATAAATATGTTCAGGATACATTTGAGCAGTTGAAACAATATAATATATACTATCTCTTGTGTCCTGTGGAGAAGATAGGAGACTATGAATATAATGTATTTCTATACATACAAATAAATATTGAAAACATACCAATGAAAGTGGTCATTAACGGTGTAACAAGCCATAGAGAATGAATTTGTCAGAAATAAGATTTAGAATGAAGCTTCTAGGTATGAACAATTTTTTATGTCATTTGGTTTTTGAACCATACACCACCTTACCTATTCAAAAGATAGTAACATTTGAAAATAAATAAACTTAAATTTGACTTAAAATGAAAGAATCTTCTACATGTCTGCTTAATTTCCAGTAGGCTCCATTTCTATGTGAATTATTTAAGGCCTGCAGAATTTTCTTTCCCCAACTAGGCAGGCAAGGTCTATTTTGGAACAAGCCACGCATGGCATGACAGATCTGGGTCAGGTCACTGAGCTGGAAGCAGCAACTCTTCAGAAATGTTCAATAGCATATGGAAAATCACAATATCTTTTTATACACCAAAGAGTGCCTTCTAGTATCTAGCATCTCTCTCTTAAATTTAGAGATTTGAATGTTAGTACCTTTTCTCATGGATTTTCACATTTTTGAAAACTTAGATTTTTTTATATTTATTTTCATTGGTGTGCATCCATTGTACATGATAATGTATTCCAAGGACTGCTTTCATGCAGGTATACAGTCTTCTTTGAGCCTATTTCTCATCTTCCCACCCTACTTCTGTTGGTCCCCACTGTCCTCCTAGACATTTTCACTTCTACTTTTGTGGCACAGGTATGTTTGTAAGTAAGGTATGCATATAATGTATATAACTGTATGTATCTGTATGAAATCTAGAAATGACAAATGAGAGAAAACATACAATATTTGTCTTTCTGAAACCAGCATACTTTGCATAATATGATTACCCTCAGTTGTTTCTAATGTCTTATATAACACAC